TTACTTATCAGGATGCTTCATATTTTAGTTTAAATTTTCAAGTCACATGACACAAACAACTTTCACATGATCAGATAATGTAAAGATGATTTCTATAAAGGTAATTCTTATTTTTCATATTGTGCGAATAATTATGGAAGAAATATTAAGTTTTAAAAGAAATATTTCAAGAAAGGCCAGGGCAGACAACACTGCAGATTTATTTCAATGTTTCTGATGTGTATTTAAAAACTTATGAAAAAAAACTTTGTCACCGTATGTGTTTCTTGATATATTCAGACATTGACATTAATTTAAGCAACATTGAGGCAGGGATTTTTGCTGTATATTGCTTTGTTATTGATTACATTGTTCAGCTCTTTGACAGTCAGTATACTAATTTTAAATCTGTGTTGTTTTATTTTGCAGAACTTTGTTATTTTGTTCATTAATTTAATCCTGGTGAATTCTAGAGGTAAGTAAAATTAAATTTGAAATTCAAAATCTTAAGAATGTCTCAAATTTAATAGGACCTTACTACACTCATAATAAAGCATTTGTCAATTAGGGCTGAAATGATTAATCGCTGTGCACAGGATTCAATTCAATTTTCAATTCAGCATCTTCAAATTTCAAATTGGTTCATGTTTACATTTTTTGCCCCTCCCCAAAAAAAAACAATGCGTTTTGGGTTTCTTTACAATTTATATCAGAAAACAGATGGATGCCAATAGTTAAATCTTTGGAATTTGGATTAAAAACCCACCAGCGAACCTTACTCACTCATGGGGTTTTACAGAGATTAATTACAAGTCAGAAAATACCACAGACCTAACGAATCATTAGATAGAAAACATAGTACAAGTTTTAACAACATGAAAATAAAAGAGGAGAGATGTATTTCTTTATTGTATGTATTATCAGAGTTTTGATTTCTCTTGAATTGAATAAAAATAATCGAATTGAGGCATAAGAATGGAAAATTGAATCAAATTGTGAGATACCTGAATCATTGCGAACCTATTGTCAATGGGTTACACATAATTATGTTCCCCAAACGAAGTTTGGGAACATATTGTTTTTACTCTGTTTCTTATTATTATTATTATGTTCCCCAAACGAAGTTTGGGAACATATTGTTTTTACTCTGTTTCTTATTATTATTATTATTATTATTATTATTATTCTTTTTTTCTACTTTCTTCTCCGGTACTTTTTTGTCCGGGAGTGTTCTCATAGAACCACTCATCCGATTGACATGAAACCTTTTTAGGGTTAATAGGCATGTTGTGTAGGTGTTCGGAACGAAGGTCATTTTGCGCGCACATGCATGCACGTGCGCGCGCGTGCAATGAGTGAAATGACTGATATACTTGATGAAGCCGTAACTTTTATATTTCTTGATGAATTGCTTTGAAACTCAAAATATAAAGATATATTAGTAGTCTAGACAAGATGACATGGTCAAATTAGCGTGAACTCACGCGCATGCACGTGCGCTCTTCTCTGATTGGCTGATACAAAAATCTCAATAATTTGCTTGTTTTTTGGCAAAATACTTTGAAATTTAGAATATAAATATATATTATAAGGTGCTACAACATGTTATATAGGAAATTTCTTGAAAACATGTGCATGCAGGTGTGCTGCAATCTGATTGGTTGAAACTTTAAATGTCTATAACTCCCTTGGTTTTCAACAAAACAGGATGAAATTTATGACATGGATAGGCACATAGAACTCCTACATTATGATACTATCAAAATTGAATGCAAGGCCATGCATGCGCGTATGCTGAATTCTGATTGGCTAATACTTAAATGGTCACATCTCTCTTATTTATCAATGAAATTCTTTAATATTTAAAACAAATGTATGTATTGTGAGACACTATAAGAAAATAAATGTGAAAAATGTAGAAAACATGTGCAAGCACATGCACTGAAATTTGATTGGATAATACCCATATGGCTATATTGGAGTAGTTTTCCAATAAAATACCCTTAAAAACAAAGTGTCCATCTATATTACAAAAGTATTGTCTAATTTATTGAAGCTTGTAGGGAATGGGGCATCATAAGGGATTGGGGAGCCGTTTGGGGAACATCTGTAACGGTTCCCGTTACAATTAGCACTTGTTATTATTCTTTTTTTCTACTTTCTTCTCCGGTACTTTTTTGTCCGGGAGTGTTCTCATAGAACCTCTCATCCGATTGACATGAAACCTTTTTAGGGTTAATAGGCATGTTGTGTAGGTGTGCGGAACGAAGGTCATTTGCGCGCACATGCATGCACGTGCCCGCGCGTGCATTGAGTGAAATGACTGATATACTTGATAAAGCCGTAACTTTTATATTTCTTGATGAATTGCTTTGAAACTCAAAATATAAAGATATATTAGTAGTCTAGACAAGTTGACATGGTCAAATTAGCATGAACTCACGCGCATGCACGTGCGCTCTCCTCTGATTGGCTGATACAAAAATCTCAATAATTTCCTTGTTTTTTGACGAAATACTTTGAAATTTAAAATATAAGTATATATTATAAGGTGCTACAACATGTTACATAGGAAATCTCTTGAAACCACGCGCAGGCAGGTGTGCTGCAATCTGATTGGCTGAGACTTTAAATGTCTATAACTCATTTGGTTTTCAACAAAACATGATGGAATTTACGACATGGATATGCTCATAGGGCTCCTACATTATGATACTATCAAAATTGAATGCAAGGCCATGCATGCGCGTATGCTGAATTCTGATTGGCTAATACTTAAAGGGTTACATCTCTCTTGTTTTTCAATGGAATTCTTTAATATTTAACACAAATGTATGTATTGTGAGACACTATAAGAAAATTAATGTGAAAAATGTAGAAGCAAGCACATGCGCTGAAATTTGATTGGCTAATACCCATATGGCTATATCGGAGTAGTTTTCCAATGAAATACCCTTATAAATAAAGTGTCCATCTATACTACAAAAGTATTGTCTAATTTATTGAAGCTTGTAGGGAATGGGGCATCATAAGGAATTGGGGAGCCGTTTGGGGAACATCTGTAACGGTTCCCGTTACAATTAGCACTAGTTATTATTATTTTTCTTCCTGGGTACTTTTTTGTCCGTGAGTGATCTCCGAAACTACACATCCGATTGAGGTGAAACCTTTTTAGGGTTAATAGGAATGTTATGTAGATTTGCGGAACGAAGGTCATTTTGCGCGCACGTGCATGCACGTGCGTGCGCGTGCAATACGTAAAATGACCAATTTAATTGATATAGCTGTAACTTTTGTATTTTTTGATGAAATGCTTTGATACTCAGAATATAAGGATATATTAATAGTGTAGACAAGATGACATGGTCAGAATGCACATGCATGCACGTGCGCGCATGCGCATTGATTGAAATGACCAATACAATTGATATAGACTTAACTTGTGCATTTTTTGATGAATTGCTTTGAAACTCAGAATATTAATATATATTAGAAGTGAAGACAAGAAGACTTGATCAGCGCACACATGCATGCATGTGTGTGCACGTGCGCGCGCGTGCAATGAGTAAAAGGACAGATATACTTGATATAGCCATAACTTTCATATTTTTTGATGAAATGCTTCGATACTCAGGATATCAGGATATATTAAAAGTGTAGACAAGATGACATGGTCAGAATGTATATGCATGCACGTGTGCGCATGCGCATTGATTGAAATAACCAATAAAAATGATATAGACTTAACTTGCACATTTTTTAATGAATTGCTTTGGTTCTCAGATTATAAATATATATTAGAAGTGCACACAACATGACATGATCAGCGCACACATGCATGCACTTGCATGCACGTGCGTGTGCGTGCAATGAGTAGAATGACCAATATACTTGATATAGCCAAAATTTCCATATCTTTTGATGAAATACTTTAATACTCAGAATATAAGGATATATTAATAGTGAAGACAAGATGACATGGTCAGAATGCACATGCATGCACGTGCTCGCGTGCGCAATGATTGAAATAACCAATATAATCGATATAGACTTAACTTGTACATTTTTTGATGAATTGCATTGAAACTCAGAATATAAAGATATATTAGAAGTGTAGACTAGATGACATGGTCAGCGCACACATGCATGCACGTGCGTACGCGTGGAATGAGTAAAATTACCAATATACTTGCTATAACCATAACTTTTACATTTTTTGATGTAATGCTTTGATACTCAGAATATATAGACATATTATTAATGTAGAAAAGACGACATTGTCAACATGCACATGCATGCACGTGCACACGCATGCAACGCTAAAATGACCAATATACTTGATATAGCTGTAACTTTTATACTTTTTGATGAAATGCTTTGAACTCAAAATATGTAGATATATACTAATAGTATAGATAAGATGACACGGTCAACTTGGATATGCATGCACGTGCGCACGCTTGCAAAGCGTTAAATGACAGATATACTTAATATAGCCGAATTTTTTTTATCTTTTGATGAAATTTGAATATAAAGATGTATTGAAACTATTTGAAAGTGTAGACAAGTTGACATGGTCATTTTGTACATGCATGTCCGTGCGCGCGCGTGTAATGCGTAAAAAAACAATATACTTGATTGCCTTATTTAATGAAGCTTACAGGGAATAAGTCACCAAAAGGAAGTTGGGGAGCGTTTGGGGAACATCTGTAACGGTCCCCGTTACAATTAATACTAGTTCAGTTAGTTGTCCATGAACATGGATCCCACAAATTAAAATGATTCTACAGTACATCTACCTTAATTGTGTCCTACACTTCAATTGTTGGAGTTGATGTTTATAGATCCATGGTTTAATCCATGCCATATTCTGTATATTTATCATACACTTAACACAGGCAGATGTACTATAGTACCTTAATTTACAAACCTAAATATCACTGGTTGATCTTATATTAATAGGGTTTTTATTTCTAATTTAGATTTTGAGTCCTTGTCTCATTTAAAGCCAAAGGCTTCAACAGGAAAACAAGAGGAGGCAGCCAAAGATTTATTCCAGCGAGTTCTCGGATCTCGGGCTGATGAATTTAAGGTCAAAATCCAGGCAGATCTGGGACCAAAAGAGAAAGATACATTCATAGTAAGTCACAAGTGTGTTTATGCGCATCTTAACTTTGGTAAATTTGTAGTAAACTTGGATGGTTTAGATATTTCAGATGAGTGTAATAATCTTTTTTTTAAATATTTTTTTTCTAGCAGAGTATGACAAGTTAGAATTAAATACAATCAAGTACAGATATAATTAAAAGTGCAGTTTTTTGTTCTGTGGTTTTCTTTAGATCAATACACAAGAGAAGTATGTTGAGATCGTGGGAACGACGGGTGTGGCCACTGCGATGGGGCTGTATTACTACCTCACTAACTACTGTAACTGTCAGATTACTTGGGGAGGGAGACAGCTGGCTATCCCCTCACCCCTCCCAAAAGTTGAAGGGGGCAGTGTGAACATCACAACTAATGATAAGTATGTTTATGTTTACTAAAGAAGAGTTTTATAAAAGTGAAATTATGCCTCCTTCCTGACTTTAGAAAGAAACAAAAAAAAAAAATAATCACAAAATAAAAAGAAAGTACATAGTATAAATTGGGTAGCTATTAAATTTATACCTTAAACAGTTTCTGGCTTTACTGGAAATGTTTATTGCATATAATTTTTTACTTTAAATATTTTCTGTGTTGTTTCTTCTCTAGCTATTTTCTGAACATCAGAGTGTTGATGAAGACCAGGCTCCGGGGCCATAAATTTAGATGAGCTCACTTTTGATCTCAGTCTCACTTTTGTACTATTAATTCCTTTGGTAAAAGTGAGACTGAGATCAAAAGTGAGCTCGTCTAAGTTTTATGGCCCCGGAGCCAGTAATCATTTGTAAGACATATTGGTCTTGTTTTATAACAAGCTCTGCCGTGAGTCATCCTTAGATCTGATTGTTTTTTCTCTGTCAGGTTCCGGTTTTTCCAGAATGTATGTACTGTGAGTTACTCTTCTGTCTGGTTTCAATGGAAAGACTGGGAGACCTACATTGACTGGATGGCCATGAGAGGAATAAATCTGGCTCTAGCTTTCACTGGGCAGGAAGCCATATTCCAAAGGGTAAGTAACTGAAATGTTGTGAAATTTTTCATCTATGTTTTTTTTTTCTGTTAATTGTAGTAATCCACCTTAAAATTTTTTACTGTGCATTTTTGTGGAATAGAATAATTTTGATGATTTACATTTGAAAACAAAATTAGAAGTCCATCCTGTTTTGTACCTAGGTTTACATGGGAATTAAGTTTAAAAATTTTTATGCACAGATATGTATAGGAATTGACTTTGCTCTGTCATATTTGTGTGTTTACATGAGAATCTATTGTACAATATTCTATGCACTGTGCATAGGAATTGATTTTATGCATATTTACATAGATTAATTACACAATTTTTAGACATAGATGTAGGTTTACCTAGTGATGAAGTAATTTTTACATATAATGTTTTTGACACAGGTTTATATGGGTCTTGGTTTTACTATGGAGGATATGCAGAATCACTTTGGAGGACCTGCCTTCTTAGCTTGGTGAGACTAACTAAGATTTTAGATTGCAGAAGTACCGGTAGTTAATCTCAATTGGCATGTTAACGGTGTATTTGCCTGCATTATTTAAAATAAAAGATTAATTGTACATGTATAATCTGTTGAACAGAGTACACTGATAAAACACAGCTACATGTACTAATGTATCCTCATTAATTTGTATCAATCTTATTTGGCCACTGCTTCAGGTCCAGGATGGGGAACATGCATGGTTGGGGTGGTCCTATCACACAGAACTGGATAGATGACCAGCTGATTTTACAACACAAGATCCTGGAGCGTATGAGGTCCCTGGGGATGATCCCGGTCCTCCCAGGATTTGCTGGTCATGTCCCTGAGGCCACAGTTCTGTAAGTCAATCTATTGATGAAAATAATAAATACTGGTAGTTTTAAGTTAACCATGGAAACCATTAATATCAGAAAGTGATGGCAGCTCATTTGTCACTCAGAAGTTAGCATTATCTAAAGTGTGATTTGGATCAGTAATTACTCAGGCAGGGTCAAGGTCAGCTTCCTTACATTTGTGCATTTTGTGGTATTCCTTTTCAGAAATCAAGCTGACCAGTGAAATCTTTATTCTACAGAATTTTATAAAAATGCCTGATTTTTTCAAATGTAGAATGTACAAAATTTCATAATTATGCAATTTACATTTACTGATTTTCTATGCTAATTGAGATAATTTCTTCGTGCCAGCTAGATTTGTAAAATAAGGAGATATATTTCCAGGAGGTATCCCAAGGCTAATGTGTCCAGGTTGACAGACTGGGCAGGTTTTAACCAAACCTATTGCTGGTAAGTCCAGAATTCCCATAATGCCTTCACTACCTTGGCTTTTTTCCAGGCACTATCCGACAGCCAATGTGTCTCGCCTCCGAGACTGGGGACATTTCAACAAGACATACTGCTGGTAAGGCCACCTATCCCACAATTCTCCTCACTTCCTGTTGCTTTTTTTCCAGACACTTCCCTATGGCCAATGTATCTCGAATGCGAGACTGGATGTATTTTAACAAGACATACTGCTGGTAATATAAAGTAAACACACAGAATGGTGGCCATTGGGTTTATATCTATACAGATGCCTTGTTATTTAGGGTTGTGCATTAAGAACAAAATTAATTTGTATCGTAAGGTATAATGGCTTTTGGAGACATTGTAATGTAGGAATTGTGATTGTCTGCCTGTTTATCAATGTGTCTGTTAAACTTCCTTAGTTTTATTTCCTTGTTTACTTTAATCTTCCAGTTATCAAAAATGTTAAGCTGTGTATATATATACTTGTATATATATTCATTCCACACCTTACATACACTGTATTTTACTGAAAATCCTCATTCAGGAGTTCCTTCCTGACATAATTTATCACATAGCGGGAATGTTTATGTAACTAACTTTGATGTTGCTTGTTTATAACATGGCATGACTAGTGCTTAATGAAATTGATGATTTTTTACTAGGGAACTACTAGATAGTAGCGTAGTAAATGTACTTATATCCTTTATAATAATTTGTAAGATCAATTTTGATTGCAGTAAATCCCAGTACATCCTTGATTGTGCTGGATAATATTAGTTATCCAGGTCCAATCAAGGGTAATCTGGGATTTACCCCAGGTTTTGTTCCATACACCCTTCAGCCTAAGGGTGTATGGAATACAATCCGTGATAAATCCCTGTACACCCTTGATTGAATCTGGATAATGAATTTATTTCCTATAGCCAAATAAATTCTTTGTAAACCCAAGTCCTATCAATGATATTTCAAACTATGGATAAGATTTGCTACATGCTACAATGCATCGTGACGTCATGTTATTTGCTTTTTGTGATGGAGAAACTATGCATTGTGATGTCAATTTTTTTTTACCACTAGCTGGCTCAAGTCGGGTGTACAGAAAATTATACCCGGCTTGCAAACCAATCAAACTGTGTGATACAAGCTACCTAGGAAATAACTTATTTGTTTGTTTGACCAGATATTGTTGCAGTAAAGAGTCAAATTACTGTCCTCTTGTAATTGTAGCACATCTGATAAAGAGATCACACTTCCCTATAAAGATGTTGTCATTATTGATGTTAATTATGTTAGATGTAGAACATTTAGTGAAAACAGGGAGGTTGATTCTCTGAATTGGTAATACATGGCAGAATTTAATTCAATATTTATTTGGTTATCATAGTAACTACCTACTGGACTTCAATGATCCCTTGTTTATGAAGATTGCAGTTCGTCTTATAAAAGAGGTATGTATTTCTAATTTTAAAAGAGAAATATTTTACCAATTAGTGAAAGATATCATTTTTATGCCCCGCCATGAATATGGCCAGGGCATATAGTGTTAGACATGTCTGCCTTCTGTCCTTCCATCCTTCCCTCTGTCCTTCCATCACGCTTTGCATTTAGCTCAGTTCAAAGCTCAGTTTCAAAGAACTATCCAAGATATTTTCATCAAACTTCATATGCTGATAGATATTGATGAGAGCTATGCAACTGCATCAACATTTTTTGACCTTGACCTTTGCTTTGACCTTGACCTCACTTTTCCTAAATTAGTGTTTAGCTCAGTTTTAAAGATACCATTTAATATAGTGTAAGGCCATTCCAAGTTTTTTCTATGTTTAGCATCCACCCATCTTTCAAAAACCTACCTACCTATTCACAAAAAACACACAAGCCAAATAATAAAACACATTCTATATAGTCTTTAAAATGACGTCATTCAAAGTATTTGATTTCATAAATCTATTACTCTCGTAGAAAGATCTATTCTTCAGCAAAAACAAGGTATTAAATGCTTAAAATATACCTTATATGACATATTGTAAACAGATACTTACATAAATTGATAGAATTTAAAGATTTTGACCTGAATATTCAATTTCAGGACTCCTGATTTTGTTTGTTTTTTCTGATATGGAGTGTCAAAAACCAAAGCGCACGCGGACGCTAAACACAGAAAAAACTTGGAATGACCTAATCAAACTTCAAATGTTGATACATATTGACGAGAGCTATTCAACTGCATCAACAATTTTTGACCTTGACCTTTCCTTTGACCTTGACCTCACTTTTCTTAATTTAGTGTTTAGCTCAGTTTTTAAGATACCATTCAATATAGTGTAATCAAACTTCACATGTTGATACATACTGATGAGAGCTATGCAACTGCATCAACATTTGACCTTGAGCTTTCCTTTGACCTTGACCTCACTTTCTTAAATTAGTGTTTAGCTCAGTTTTAAAGAAACCATTCAGGATAGTATTATCAAACTTCATATGCTGATACATACTGAAGTAAGTAATTCAACTGCATCAACATTTTTGACCTTGACCTTTCATTTGACCTTGACCTTACTTTTATCAATTTGTGTTTAACTCAGTTTTAAATAAACCATTCAAAATATTTTTTATCAAACTTAATATGCTGATATGTATTTGTGAGAACTATTCAACTGCATCAAAAATGTTTGACCTTGAACTTTCCTGTGACCTTGACCTCACTTTTCTTAAATTTGCATTTTGCTTAGTTTTAAAGAAACCATTTAAGATGTATTTATGTAAGCTTATGCACTTATACATAATTTGGTGAGAATTTATCATCTATATCCAACTTTTTAGATTTCAATGTCAAAGTAACTATTCAAGTTATTCTCGTCAAATTTCATACACTAATACAAATTTTCATGTTGCATTACTAATATACCCTCGGTGGGGCATTCATGTCCTATGGACATATTTCTATTTTTTTTATATTTCTGCAAAATGAATTAAGATAAAACTAATGCTTATACATGTACAATATGTGTAATACATCTTTTTAAAGAAAACTGTAGTAGAAATGATTGTTTAATTCTGTGTTTTTTACAGATGGAGTATGAGTTTGGTGTAGATCATGTGTACAGTGTAGATACTTTTAATGAAATGGAACCAAGGTCAAAGTGAGTAAAATTAATCCTGTATATCAAACTCTGTGTCAAGTTATCATCCCTAAAATGATTTGATACTGGTTAAAGGTAGATTACAGTACATGTATTCACTAGTCATACATGCAATAATTTTGTTAGCGGTGTTACCTGGTAAATTTTTTTTTTTTATGTGATAGGTTCCACAAACTGTTACAACTTACATATGGTATTGCATCTTACATCTGTTTTTTCTTTCTCAGTTCCACTGAATATTTAGCTCTATCGGGCCGTACTATCTACAAGAGTCTGAAAGAAGGAGACTCTAAGGCCATCTGGTGAGCATGAAAGCATTCAAATCTCGATTAAAAAAATTTCAGCTATTGAAAAGAAACAAGTGGATAAAAGTTGCCATGTGATTTTCACTACTTCTGTAGGTTGATGCAGGGATGGCTATTTATAGATGAAGGATTCTGGAAACCACCCCAGATGAAAGCTCTTTTGACTTCTGTTCCACAGGTAAACTTTGAAACTATATGTTTTATCATGATTCTGTGTTCACTAAATAAGGTCTCTGAATCTGCCTGAGTGATGTATAAATTGTACTTCTCAAACAGCAGTACAGGTTTTGTGAATCATCCAGCCTTCTCGCTGAATCTTCAGAAAAGATCAGAAGGGGCTCTCAGTGCTGAGTTGCTGGAGGACTGGGGGGGGATTGGAATAATAATGTTGATAGGTTAGTTAATACAGATATTTCATTATGTTTTGGTTATGTGTTTTTCAGGGGGAAATGATTATCTTAGATCTGTACTCTGAGATCATCCCTATCTTCACCAGGACAGAGTCGTATTACGGTCAGCCATTTATCTGGTGTATGTTACATGACTTTGGTGGGACAATGGAGCTGTATGGAGCCTTAAAACTAATTAATGAGGTAAATATTGGAGTGCTGAAACATATTGATAATGATATTTACAAATTCGAATATATATATTGGTATAATGGCAATTTTTTTAGGGTCCCTTCAATGGCAGGGCATACCCTAACAGTTCTATGATTGGTTTGGGGATGACTCCTGAGGGGATCTTCCAAAATGAGGTCATTTACGAATTCTTCACAGAAAATGTGTGGAGAAAAGAACCCCGAGATATATCATCATGGTAGGTATATTTATTTATTGACACATTAATGCAAAGTACTGTAGTAGTTTTTAGTAACAGGAATTATTTTCTTGGAAAATAAAGTGTCATCCCATTTAAAAATGAAGCAGTAGATGAATTTCTACAAATTAACCCTCTTTTCCTTCAGTTACAGTAGCTGTATTACACATTGGAAATCATTCATATATTTTTTTTTTTGCAGGATCAGCAAGTATGTCCTGAATAGATATGGGAAGACAAATAAGTTTATAGATCTAGCCTGGCAATATCTAAAGGTGAGAAAGCAAGTTACTATAAATAGCCTTTGGTATTTTGGATCAGCTTATTATAGAAAAAAATTACCTGCTACCGGGTATTAAACTGTGCATGTGCCTGTATATAACTACTATAATATTCTGGTAAATTGGATCAGCTTAGTACAGAAAAATACCTGCAATGTACATGTCCTGTATATACATGTAACTGCGGATCTGTTTTAATGTTATTTCATCTGAAACTGAATGTTAAGGAGATGATGATGAAATGTGATGAATTTAATGCTTGCTTATAAAGACTACAGGTATTTAGAAATGATGTCAGTGTAATGCATGCATACTACTGTTGCAAAACTGTTAGACAGAAATGGTCCATCAATGTTTGGGTATACCGTTTGTGATTACAAAAGCCATTTGAACGTTGTGTATAAGCTTAGTATTATATTGTCACAATGCAATAAATACTCAACAGGCCTGCACATGTCTTTCACTATTTTTAATGATTTGATGCTTACAATGAAGCATATATATTTTAAAATTATTGAAATGAAATGCCTCTCTGTTTTAGAATTTTAGAAAGATTAAAGAATTTTTAACAGAATTCATAATTTTAAAGAAATTTTAAGATTTTTAGAAAGATTAGTAGTTTTAAAATATATTAGAATAATAAATAGCTTTTTATAGCTTTAAAGTAAATAACATATATTTTAAATCCAAATTATTGTTTTAAATATGTCATAATGTTTGACTTCAATTAAACTTTGACCTCTCTCTATCAGAACAGTGTGTACAACAATTCTGACAATCTTAAGGACCATGATTCCCAAACGATCCCTGTCACCCGCCCCCGCCTCTCTCCCTTGCTGAAACCTGATGTAAGTACCTGGTCAGGGTCTCTAATATGTTTGTTCTGTGTTTGTATAGCTTGGGGTTTACAACAACACTGATTTTCTACATGACAACAACATAGACATTATAGTCACAACTTTACCTCGAATGACTCCATTGATTCAGCAGGATGTAAGTACATGTGTACCCATGTAGGAGTAGAATCCTGACCCAACTTGAAAATTTTCTTTCTTTATCACCTTTTTCACATACTGGCACAATTGCTTAACATTCTGAATGTGTTATAGGAGCATAAACACAGATTTAAACTTTTGTATCCTTCAAAATTTTTGGTAGAATTTTATAACTGACATGCTGTGAGAGTATTTCAGACCAACTATTATAAAAGTGTGTTTAAATTTATTATCTGAATATTATCAAAACTATGAATTTCAGGTGTGTTTGATTGTCATGCATCCTTGCACTTTCACAAACTAAAATATCCTTAATATTTATGAGAAGTGGGAAAATTGTGGTGTATTGATAAAAGACATTAAAACTTTAATCAAGAAATGTTAGAATAGGAATATAAGCCAAAACCAACACATCAGTGTTGTTTGTTAAAGTTCAGTGATGTGTGTAGTGCTGGCAAATCGATCACTCCATCAACATAAAGAGTAACAGAGCTCCAGCCCATGTTTACAAACATAGGTATTTGGTGTAAGGTTTTGACGAATGCCGTTTCATTGAATATTGAGAATTTTCATGTGATTCAAATCATTAAAACTGCATTTATTTTTAAAATAAATACAAAGAGAAATTCAAAATTGTTAATAAAACGACAAAGTAAGCGTGTCTATGTCCCTTAAAGAAGATTTTCTAAAGTAAGAAGAATGATGTATTATAATGCTACTGATTGTAATAACTTCAGAGGAGTGATTTACTCTCCATATTTTCTTTGTGTTAATTCCTGTACAGACCTCCAGGGATCGACCAACTGTATTACTTTCACAATCAGAAAATAACATTGAAACAAGGTCTGTTTATTGAGGTAGAGTTATTTCCCTTTAGGTATGGTTTAACCCTGAGGATCTATACGTTGCCTGGGATATCATGACCTTGAACTTAGATGATTTCAGCAACAGCTCACTGTTCATGTAAGTAGTATGTTGCCTGGGATATCATGACCTTGAACTTAGATGATTTCAGCAACAGCTCACTGTTCATGTAAGTACTGTAGATTCCTTATTTTACGCGAGTACTTAATATCGCAAAATGGCCCAAGGGCATCAAATCGTGAGAACAATAATTCGCGAATGGGTGATTTGTATAGAGATTTTACATACATTAAAGCACCATAATAATAAAAGCGAGTACTTTTATTTCGCGAGTGGTGCTTCTCACATAATTACACAATAATTTTTCCTCGCGTATATTTAGGAATCTACAGTAGTAATAAGTAACCAGGAGTGTAATATGGGTGAAAAATGATAATCTGTTTTACATGCAACATAAACATAAAAAAAAGGTTTTTATTCAACTATTTATGTCTATTATTTATTCCAAGTTGAAATAAATGTATATCAATTATCATTGTTGTATTCATAGGTATGACATAGTGGACGTGACACGTAACAGTTTACAGATTCTGTCCATTAAATACTACACTGATTTAGTATATGCTTTTGGTCGGGGTGATATTAATGCTGTAGAGTAAGTCATACTGTTTTAATATTTTCAAACAATTTACCAGAAATTTCATAGATGCACAAAATGTTTGCAAATTTATTTTTTCAAAACTTGTATTTTGTAATTATTTTTAATGATGTCGTGCATTGGCAAAGAGATCTGTTCAGTGTTTGTTTATTTTTAGATCTCTGGGGAATAAATTACTAGGGTTACTTAGTGACATGGACACTGTGCTAGGGTCTGATTCTCACTTCCTGTTGGGACGCTGGTTGAAGGCAGCCACAGACAATGCTATGGACATGCAGGATAACTGGTTCCTACAATTTAATGCAAGAAACCAGATTACATTGTGGGGTCCTAGAGGGGAGGTTTGTCTCTCATATAATCATCAGACTTATGCAGCTCAAATTAATCTGTTTCGGTTCAACTAAAAAAAAATATGAATAGCTACTGTTTGATAAATGCAAAGGGAAAGTATCTTAAACTCTTTGTTTGATATAAACGTACATGTACATGGGATTGAACCTTTGGCATGTGACGGTTCCCTTACACACACACTGTGATTGCAAGTAGTGTAAAAATTATCAATTTAAACAGTGGTCATAATTTGTGTTTTGTAGATTCGAGATTATGCTTGTAAACAGTGGTCTGGACTTATTAAGGAGTAAGTATCAGTACTTTAAAGATTTCAGTGTGTCAGTATTCAGAACTTAAACATTTGTAGAATCATGACTTTTCCATTTAAGAACTTATTGATTTACTTTATTTTTGGATTCTTCTTCTTTTAGCTACTACTTACCTCGCTGGGAGATCTTTGTTAATTACACAATGGATATAATGATACATGTAAGTCAAAGTGAAAGTAAATCTACCTTTATGAATCACAGGTTCATGTGACCAGGTCAACAGTAACACGTACAGTAGGGTAAAATGAGTGGTTTACCCCCACAATTATTTGCAACTTACTGAGTAATATATTTCTTAATTATTTCTTGAACATTGAAAAAAAAAGATTAACAGTCTTTAATGGCAATTTCGTTCTATAAGGTGTGAGTACTTATGTAATTATGTAAGATATTTTCCTTGTGGTATATTAAAGATCAACATTTACTTTAAAAGTTATTTTATTCTTTTATAATTTCAAAGACAGTTTTCATTGAAAATAAAATGACTGAAGCTAGAAGTATTTTTAAGATGAAGTGATATATCCATATTATGAATTGATATTATGAATTATGAATTGATATATACACTGCTGTAATATGTGGTCAGAATATGCCTATAATATTCTTAAGTTGTGAATTTAAGTTGAGTGAATTTTTGGTTGGAAAAGTGAATAATGCTTTATATATTAAATACATACAGTTAAGAACTAGAGTATTCTCTGACAGATTGTAGGGTTTATTGTAGAAAGACCAATATATGTTATATCAAATTCTTTTTCAGAATAAAACTTACAATGCCACAGAGCTGAATATAATGATGTATGAGAAAGTAGAATTTCCATTTAGTTACAGACTTGACCAGTATCCCACAGAACCCCAGGGTAAGAACCATATATATATATAAATTGTTGCTAAAATTCCTCAGAGCAAGGTAGGGATCAGTAATTAACTCTGCTAAAATTCCTCAGAGTAAGGTAGGGATCAGTTATTAACTCTGCTAAAATTCCTTAGAGTAAAGTAGGGATCGGTTATTAACTCTGCTAAAATTCCTCAGAGTAAAGTAGGGATCAGTTATTAACTCTGCTAAAATTCCTCAGAGTAAGGTAGGGATCGGTTATTAATTCTGCTAAAATTCCTCAGAGTAAAGTAGGGATCAGTTATTAACTCTGCTAAAATTCCTCAGAGTAAGGTAGGGATCGGTTATTAATTCTGCTAAAATTCCTCAGAGTAAAGTAGGGATCAGTTATTAACTCTGCTAAAATTCCCCAGAGTAAGGTAGGGATCAGTTATTAACTGCTGCTAGAATTCATCAGAACAAGGTAGGGATCAGTCATTAACTCTGCTACAATTTCTCAGAGTAAGGTAGGGATCAGTTATTAACTTCACTAAAATTCCTCAGAGTTAACTAGGGATCTGTTATTAACTCTGCTACAATTCATCAGAGTAAGGTAAGGATTGGTTATTAACTCTGCTAAAGTTCCTCAGAGTAAGGTAGGGATCAGTAATTAACTCTGCTACAATTCCTCAGAGTAAGGTAGGGGTTGGTTATTAACTCTGCTAAAGTTCCTCAGAGTAAGGTAAGGATTGGTTATTAACTCTGCTAAAGTTCCTCAGAGTAAGGTAGGGATCAGTAATTAACTCTGCTACAATTCCTCAGAGTAAGGTAGGGATCAGTAATTAATTGCTCCTAGAACCCCTCAAATTAGGGTAAGGATTATCATTAACTGCTTCTACAATTCCTCAGAATAGGATAAGGATCAGTTATTTACTGTTGTTACAAATGTAGGGAGTTGCTACAATTCCTCAGAGTAGTCCAGGGACCAGGCTCCGGGGCCATAAAACTTGGACAAGCTCACTTTTGATCTCAGTCTCACTTTTACTAAAGGAATATATAAGGGGAAAGTGAGAATGAGATTAAAAGTGAGATCATCTAAGTTTTATGGCCCCAGAGCCAGACCACTTATTTAACGCTGCTTAAAATTCTTTAGATTAACTAAGATAGGGAGAAATCATTAACTGTTGCTATAATTCCTAAGATTAGGGCACAGATCAGTTATTAACTGTCTGGGAGAAATTCTTCAGAGTTGGGTAAGGATCATTGCTTAACTGCTGATTAAAATTCCTAGGAGTAGATTAGGGATCAGTCATTAACTACTGCTACAATGGTAGGGAGCTCCTACAATTCCTCAAAGTAGGGTAGGGGTCAGTTAATAAATTCTGCTTGCAATTTTTTTGGAGAAGAAAAGTATTTGCCTCTTATGATTTTGTTCTTCTTTGTGGTATGGAAATCTTACCCAGTCAAGCAATACAATGATTTACTTTATAAAAATATACATGTAGTCAGCAGTTTTAGTGTTGAACTTTTCATTAATCATGTAAAAGGGTAACATTATCAGGAAAGGGAGGTTTTATTTAGATGATTGTGACCTTCCTGTGACCTCTGTGTACATAAGTTCATAATTCAGTTTTCTCTCTTTTGAAGAATAATTTCCTCTGAAAAACTACAATTACTCTGGATGAAGCTTTTGTTTGTTGAGTGAATTTTGCTGATTGATTTATTTCTGTATTGATCAGGTGACAGTGTAGCCATTGTCAAGTCTCTACACCAGAAATACAGACCTGAAACTCTGTCCGATTTCTTTCAAACTCTACAGAAAGCCACAGACGAGAGACACAGAAAGGACAAACGAAACTGGATCGAAAGGAAATATGGCTCACGAATGAAACAGCCTAAAAAGAAAATTTCTCCATATAATCCACAACTTCATCGTATTGTTAATAAGGATCTGGTGCTTAATTAGTCATTTCTCAGTGGGTGTATATTTTATGAGAATACAAGTAAATGTGGACAGATGTTTGAAAAGTGTAATAGATTTACATTTTATTCTGTGTATTACTTGTAAATGTGGGTAAAATGGTATATCTGAGTATAACTATGGGTTTTGTGTAAAAGTATATCAGTATAACTTACTGGGTATTATGTAAATGGTTAGTGTCATAATTGGGTAATTTTTTAAGATGGGGCCCATTTCATATCCAAAGATTCATTTAATAGAAGTACATGTATTTTCACAGGGTCTTAACCCTGTTGATTGGTAGTCATTGACAGTTTAATGCTTTGCATAACAAGAGTCACATGATGTTATATATGTACTGGGATTGAAAAATATAATTTCTTTTACATGAACATGTATAAAGTATTTAATTTCAAAATTGTTAAACCTGTTTAAAAAAAAAATTGCACTTAAAGCCTAAAGCCAGACATCTGCAGGAATTCACAGGATTTTTGTCAGCCATAATGTGAAGAATGTTTGTGTTTTTAAGTGTTAACAAAATGTGTTTCATGAGCTCTTATAGCAATACATGTAATAGTACTTAAGATACAAGCTTGTCTGTGATACTGTGATAATTTTGTGGTGGTTAGGTTGTCTGCACCACCATTGTGATGTTTAGTCACACAGATGTCATGTTGTGCTTCATGTTACTGGTCAATGAAATTCAAGTACTGTACAACTTGGGGTGCTATATCATGTCATATATAAATTTATATTGGGGTACTTAGTTATGGGGAATGCATATAAATGTTTCTTGAATGTTTAATGCATGCTCCCACATCAAAATTCTTATATTAATCATGTCTCGAGTATTGATTTGCTTGTATTTGTAATTTTCATTTTTTTAGGTCACATGAGTCATGAGTCACTCAGGTGACCTATTGCTATATGTCTGTTTTTGTAAATCATTGGGCATTGAACAGATGAACCAATTTTAACCAATTTTAATATGTAGCATCTATGGGTCAAAATTGTGAATTTCATGCCCCCCCCCCCCCCCCCTTCTGTGTCTGAGGGGTGGGGCTAAAACCATCAAAATTAATACAATCTTCAAAAATCTTCCTTACTCCTAGACATCAGACAGTCAAACTGTTGGCATGATTATAACAATGAGTCCTTTACTAAAATTTGAACTTTGTGGCCCCTGAGTCTGGGTTCTGGTGTTAGGGTGGGGCTCCAGGATAATATGGTGAAAATGCATTATTTCTTTGAAAATCTTCTCTGCTCCTGGGTATTAAGTAAACAAACTAAGTTGTGTGTTAAAATGAGCAAGAATGCTTCTTCTAAAACTGTGAATTTCAGGGCCCCTGGGTAAGGGGATCTTTTTTAGGGAGGGGCTCTATTGATTATAAAGTGAAAATGCATAAATTCTTTTAAAATCTTCTTCATTGCCCTTGATTATTTAGCAGGCAAACTATATATTACATGGCTATGATGAGCAAGGATGCCTCTTTTAATTTTGTGAAATTCATGGCCCCTGATCGAGTAAGGAGGTTCTGGTGTTGGGGCGGTGAGTGAAAATAGTGAAAAGGTATTGTTTCTTTGAAAATCTTCTCCTTTGCTGGGTGTTTTTTAAAAGCAAATATACCCATCTTTCAATTTCTTTTATTTTCTACTTCTGTGGATCCTTGACGATGTTGTAGCTGTATACATACTATACTCAGATGACCGTTAAAGCGTTTAGGCTTCTTGTTTAAATTAAAGGAAACATTCCAATAATGCTTACCTAGCTTGCATTCATTAATTTTTTTTAATTGTGAACAATATGTGTAGCTAGCTGCCAACAGGAGCTCGCTGCTCTTACAGTTGTATAATAATGAACAGTGCTTGACAGTTTATTTGATATTTGGATCTGTTTTAATTATATTCTTTTTTCGTCGACTCTCATGATGAAAGTAATGCTGCTTTAAACGAATTCTTGTTATTCAAGTCCTGGTTGTAATTTATGTCAGGTATGGACATTATACATATAAATCATGAAGGATGATGCCCTGTCTGGATGATGTTACAGAGAAATAAAAGTACAAATTCTAAACCTTGCATGTTTATTATTTCATTACTTGCGTATAATATGTTATCCTTCAACTTGGGAGTAAATTTTTAAAAAGTAAATACTTTTTTATCCAGTGTTTTCAAGAATTATTTGAACAAATGGTGTTTAATTTCAAGAAATTTGATGAATATGTTGTAGTAAACGGCAATAAATGATCTTTACAGGAAGCAATATCGTAGTTATATATTACAAAGAGCACAGAAACATCCTGCAAAGCAAATTGTAAATAAATTAAAGTTTCCTTGTTGCCCGAATGTGTCCAGGTACGAGTTGTCTTGCCCCCGTGGCGTCACTTTTTCCACTTTCGTTTCGGGCTAGAAGAATTAGTTATTAGTATTACAGATAAGTATTGATTTGCATAAAGACAATGGACAACGGACATTTTGATCTGTTTCCTCCGTTGGAGAGAATACAGAAGGAGGCACATGTGTCATCCTTTGAACAGTACAAGGAGATGTACAAGCAGTCTGTGGAGGACCCCGCCGGCTTTTGGAGGGAGATTTCAAAACAATTCTTTTGGAAGTCTCCCCCAACCGGGGAATTCCTTCAGTATAACTTCGATTGCCGCAAGGGTCCCATCTTTATCAAGTGGATGGACGGAGCACAGACCAATATATGTTACAATACTCTTGATAGAAACATTGAGAGGGGAATGGGGAACAAGATCGCCTTTTACTGGTTAGCAGACATGTATTGCAAATTAAATCAGCAAACCATTTCAACTTCTAAAAAAGGAGCAATATTTTTTCTTTTTAATATTATTATAATTGTTTTCTGTTTAACAATTCTGCATAAATTCATGTCCAATCAGTCAATATGAAGGGCATGCTTCATGTTTGAGGTTGGGGAGTCTTTATCAGCAGCTTATGAAGTATATAAATCTGATTATTCTTTAGGGAAGGTAACAACCCAGAAGATGTTGGCTCCATCACATATCAGCAGTTGTTAGAAGAAGTTTGCAAGTTTGCCAATGTCCTCAAAAAGATTGGTTTGTATGACAGTAGTTAAATTAATACACAGCTTGGTTTGGACTGCAGTTATGTTATGTTTTTCTTGATGTTTTAAAACAATTCGACACAGGCTTATAACCTGTTTTGGCGTAGAAAGTTGTATGAACTATTTATTCAAAAGGAAATTTTATCATCTGTGTTTTGAAAAATTAATATGAAGCTTCATAGTGTATTGTTTCTGATTGGTTTTAGATTGAATCTACTTGTGGAAATAGTTGACTGGTATCTACAGTTAAAATCATGATGACAATATTTACTGTATACAAGGTTATTTTCGCCCTTTCACACTTGCAAAGGCTAATTGTATTCGGCGCGTCGGCGCGCCAGCGCGTCCATCTCAACCCGATATCACAAAAGTATTTTCTCCCTACATTAAAACACTCAAATGACATCGATTTTCTTTATAATTTAAGCATTATCGGTTATATTCAAGTCGACAGCCCGAGCCCGATTGTATTTTTTTGTTGGGTGGATCCAGAAATTTTTCCCTAGGAGGTGTTGGCTCAAATCGCAAGGGGAAGAGGTCCAAGGCAAAGCTTTAGTAATTTTACTATGTCAGTTCAAATAAATTTGAATTTTCCAGGGATCCGGATCCCATTTGATCCATGCATGCCTTACCACAATTTGTGCTAGAGTAATCCGAAATACCCCAATTTTTTGAGTTGGCCTATACTTTCGATTTCTCTCTCTCTCTCTCTCTCTCTCTCTCTCCAAACATTAACTATATACATGTATAGCATTTAAAAATATTTAGTGCTTTGGTTTTTATAAATTTTCTTTATGTATAACAAAAATTTACCGGTATTACGTAATGACCCTAGACATTAACTATATACATGTATAGCATTTAAAAATATTTAGTGCTTTGGTTTTTATAAATTTTCTTTATGTATAATAAAAATTTACCTGTATTACGTAATGACCCTAGACTCTAGAGTTTAACCCCCTTTTTAGAGACTTGATTATCATGGCAATAAGCTGCAAAACATTGGTATCAGTGTTTGACAAATATTCCTTGTTACGTATTAAAATATTACTACTACTAAAAATTAGCTTGTTCTTTATTTGAGCAGGGGGAGTAACTTTAGTTACAGATACATAAAGTCCTGCCTCCCCATATTGTAGTCTTCTCAACCACTAAGCTCATTACAAATCCAATCATATAAAATACATCTACAATGGTTCCATCAACATTCCTTTAACATTAATTTTTTTTTTGTTTTTTTTTTGTTTTGTTTTTTTTTTGTTTTTGTTTGTTTTGCAGAGTGAAAATTAAAATAGAATTTGATGGTCATTAAAGTAAGAAGCATACCAAAAAGGTTTATGATGACCTGTGTTTACGAAATACTGAATCATTCGCTGATTGCACAAAAATTGATGCCAATGAAAATTGATAAAACTAGTGTATTAATTAGTGGATAAAAGAATATGAATAAAAGAAACAACAGGCGGTTAAATAATGGTATCAGGTTCGTTCGCCCTATCTACCTGTTCGCATGAATCCGTTCGCGCAGGGTCCGTTCGCCATTATTCTTGTTCGCCCTATATCTCGTTCGCCCTATTATATATACAGTATATAGTAAATATCAACATTTATTATTAATTTTATTAAATATTTTACTTGGTGTTTTTTTCAAATGTTGCTAAAGTATTTTTTTTATTAACCGTAATCTTAATGAAGTAATTCAAATTTGATATTTATGCTCTTTACATGCTTAATTGATTTAATTATACTTAATAATGTCACTGTAATTTAGGGGATCATACAATCTGCGTTATGTTCAATTAAAGGACTGAGATGTTAATTTCTGTTGGTCTGCTGGGTCTTTGATTAGTACAGGTATAAATTACCGGTATAGTGTGACCACATGCATTCGTCTGTTGTCTCCCGTGTGCAATTTATGTACCAATGTACATATAATTTATTTAAAAAATCCATTGGTTAATTATTCAATTTCTGCAATATAAATAAGGCGAACGGACCCTGTGCAAACAAGTGATGTTGAAGCTTCAAAAACAAAATTCCATCTATAAAACTTTCTCTTTTTAGCCGAGCGCATTGCTCGTAGAGCAATAGCCGGTTTATGTTACGGTGTTCAACCGGAAATACTGCTTCCTCACCGCCAAATTAAATATGAGTAAGAATAAAGTACGTATGCTCAACCACCTTTGAAGCAATACAAACACTTAATTAAACAAATTTAATTTAACTAAGAAATTCTCTAAAAAAAAAAAAAAAAAAAAAAAAAAAAAAAAAAAAAAAAATTGATAATATACTTTCTCCCCTTTTCTTCAATAAATTATTTGTTTAAAAGATGCGATAGGTAATTTCATCAAGTCTGCCAGCTTCACATTCTATAGATAAAGGTTGTGTTACCAGGCTAATGCGGGGAGCATGTGACCCGATGCACACCTTTATGCAAAACTCCCCGCTGAGGACCCGTCTGTGTATAAACGTTTGACCTTGCTGCATCAATGTAAATTCAAACTGCATTTTATTTTATTTTATCTTTTAAACATTTTTTTATTTATACTATATGCCATAAATATATTTTTGTGTTACATATTCTTCCAGTGTCTTGTTGTTATTCATCTGTAATTACAATGTATGTTTCATGTAAAACGGACTTGTTCACTTCTCTGTAAATGAGCCCGGCTCTCTGTACTTCTCAGTACTTTGATTATTTATGATATCGAGCCCGATGCTAACAATATTGTATAAGCGATAATTTATTTTATAAACAAAATCTGTTGCGCGAGCGCGCCGACGCGCCGAATACAATTAGCCCTTGCAAATAATTTTGCCCCATTTTAATTCGCCCAATCACAGTTCTGTTTAAGAAATTATACTGTGTTTTTTTAAATTCGCCCTGTTTAAAATTCACCCAATTGTGAATAGGGCGAAAGGGGCAAAAATAAAATGGGGCGAAAATTACCCTGTATTCAGTATTACATTCTTATATTGAAATATTCTAAAATTGAACATAATAATATTATGCTGTTTCTCATTTATTATCACTGTACTAGCATTTGGTTTGGAAAGGGAGAATACAACATTTGGTATACCATGGCTGTTAAATTATTTTACCTTGACTTTCACATAAGACAGGGTTGTTAGATTGCCTTCCTCTAGCCTCATTTCTTCCTCTCTATTGAAAGCCCTCATCCTCTGTAAGCTTCTTCCTGCTAAAATGTCAATGTCTAATATTTTCATTCCTTTTAATTGTAGGTACATGAATACTACGTGTAAAATGACATCAACTTACTTTTCCTTTTAATATTTATAGGAATATTTTAAGATGTCACTATTAAATAAACTTAAAGTGATATATCTCACTGTATATTGCAAAATATTGGTACATATTTGGTATATTAAATTGGTATTTGACACACTCTACATTTATGATAAAAATCTTTGCAATCTTCAATACAGTGAATGGTTCAGCAAAAATAATGATGAACCTAGAGTCTGTGATCTGATAGCTCAAATAAAACACTCACCAAATGAGACATTTTCATTTCATTATAAATTCATCTGTTTTTTTTTTTTTTTTTTTTTTTTTAATCGCATACTGTTTACATCACCAGTTTTCTTCTTCTAAGACATTGACTGCAATTTAGCAATCACAGCACATTTTCTTTCAATATGGGATGTAGAATTGTGTCACTGAATGTAAAACTGAACCGGAACATATACTTTAATTTCTGAATTGTTTTTTTTTCTCCCAAAGACAGATTTTTCATAAACCTAAACACACGGGTGACCTTAAACATAGAATTAACTCTAAACAACCTAAAGATATGTAAATAATTCCCTTTGTTTTATTAAAAAATGTTATAATTTCCAATATTTTACAAGGAGTGTCAGCTAAGCATAAATACATGTAATTACAGTTTTTTTGTGCTGAGTTTTGTGTCTCTGTTTCTATAGGTGTTCAGAAGGGAGACAGGGTAGCTATATATATGCCTATGATACTGGAACTTATTGTTGCCATGTTGGCTTGTGCTCGCATCGGGGCAGTTCACTCCATCATCGTAAGTAAGAGGGATAAATGTTCAGAGTAAAGACTAAAGAACATTGGTTATCAAGAGCACATTTTAAATCAAATCTTCCCGAAAGTAATTCATTTTTATTTTGTGACAGACAGGGCAATCGGTGTTCAGAAATTAATGGATTCGTTTGTTCTTAAATGAATAGACATTGATGATCTTTGTATACAAAAGTATTTTTGTGATCAATAAAAATTAAAGAATAAAAAATTTTGATTTGTTTTTTTCATTTGACATTTTCCCAGTAATAGTAAAGCCGAATGTATATGTGATGTTTTTGCATGTTTCAGTTTGCGGGGTATTCATCGGACTCCCTAGCGGACCGAATCCTGGATGCTCAGTGTCATGTCGTCTTAACAGCTGGTAAGGCTTTGTACGGAAATGTCATAGTGGAGATCGACACTGAAAAAAAATTACCATCAAAATCTCAAAGTTTATTGGATTCTATTCAAAATGCAGCAAATTGCAAGATTTAATTTTTTGGGAAATATTCATTGAATTTAGAAATCTGTCAACTAGGTTTACTTTTCATACCTCTTACAGAGCCATGTTTGTTGACTGAAATTAATTTTCTTTTAAATACTACCCTCTTCTTTTTTACTGTTCTTTTTTACTGTTATTCAGATGGCGTTTGGAGAGGGATTAAGCTGTTAAATGTGAAAAAGATTGTAGATGATGCTGTAGATATTTGTCGCAAATCGTAAGTAAATGCTGTACCATAGAACGTGAAGATGAATATGTTTCATAGAATGTTTAAAGGAACATTTCATTCTTTTTCAAAAAGAAGTGTGCTTGCATCTACATCTAGGTATACGGCCTGAAAAGAACTTTATTCAAGAATATTTTGAAAGCAGAGTTAATTGTTATAAGGGAAAGGGGGAAAGGGTTAGGTTAAATATTTCCAGAATGGTTCCTCTCCCAATTGTGAAGTCTTTTTCTCTTATTTCGTCATTCTGCATTTCTTACTGTGTTTAGATATGGTCACCTACTATATACATTGTAATAAATTTTAAAAAATGTAAAATACATAACTATGCACTGATCTGAATAAATATTAGAACTTGTGGACTTTTATTCAGAAATCATGAGGTTCGTACCTGTGTTGTTGTGAGACATCTTTCCCCATCAGAAGAACAAATACAGACCTTAAAGCATGATGAGACGACAGAACCACCTGCAATGCGACCTTCTTTGAAACTCAAGGTCAGGAGAATTATTTTGCTATCTCATTCTTCAGTTGTAAGGAAGGATTTCACAATTGGAATGTCTGTAATACTTATACACACTAATTTATCATATCCTCTTCTTGAGAGATTGCATTTTTTTTTTTACAGATTTCATGGCATGAAGGTAGAGACATCTGGTGGCATGATATAATGGTTGGTCAGTCTAAAGAGTGTGATGTAGAATGGATGCAGGCAGAGGACCCACTCTTTATGCTCTACACAAGGTAGAAACTTCAGTCACTTGTCCATCAATAAAAAAAAAATGTAGTTTTAATAATGTTAGCCATCATATGAAACCAAAGATATGTCAAGCCTTTCTTTAAGCATATGTGGTGTTTTTTTCTGAAAGACACTAAGAATGCATAAACAACTAGTGAATCAAATTCTATATAATTATGATGGTGATATTTTGTTACAGTGGTTCCACGGGGAAGCCTAAGGGAGTGCTCCACACTGTCGCAGGATACATGCTGTTCTCTGCCACTACATTTAAGTTCTCGTTTGACTACCACCCTGATGAAGTCTACTGGTGCACCGCTGATGTTGGATGGATCACCGGTCACACCTACACATGTTATGGTCCACTGAACAACGGAGCAACTGGAATTATAGTAAGGCTTAAGGAAAAAGATCACATTTAATGTACTCAGGGTAATACTGACTCTGACTCTATCTTCTCTTTGCCCTTAGTCCTTTGACTGCGGCCAGTGTGGTGAGTATTAGAGAGTGTACTGGCTGTCTTATGCTGAGAAATTTCAGACTAAATCAACTTGATGATTGTATTTTACCAGTGGTGTTGGCAAAATAATATGGAGCAAATATGCTGCCAGCTTCTTAAATATTAGTAATGAAAGTGGAGCATGGCCAATATTAGCTATAAGCCTCACTCTGAATCAAATGTGCAGAGATTATGCCTACCATTTCAAGAGAGATACTATGAGACTTGGTTCAAATGCTGCATCTGACCCATATATTCCAAATAGTTTCAAGGTTCAGTTCCTTTGGAGCAGATCCATGCTTAATTTACTATAAGCCCTACCTGTACTAAACTTGCAGGAGTGATGCATCCAGAGATGTGCATCAAAAGCCTTCATTTGGATCCTGCAACTTTAAGTGACAAACAGTATTTCCCAGATGGGTAGCCAGCCAAACATTTTGGAGCAGGTCCATTCCTTATTACTGTGTATATATAAAACTTATCTGGACCAAACTTTTGTGCATGATGCAACCAGGAATGCAATTTAGCTCTGTATCCATATTTTCTAGATGATTAATGAAAAGCCTATCGTGAAATAAGGATTTTAACTGATAGATTTTGTTGGATATTGATTTATTTGAACATTCATTTGGCTTGATACTTAGACCCAGTTAAAGATAACATTTGTTGAAGTGAGCTTCATAATCATAGATGTATTTGGTGTGTGATTTTATGTTATGAGACAAAAATGGTGTCAAAATTTTAATGACACAATCAAAATGGTGTTAAAATTTTAATGACACAATGGCCTTCAAGATTTTAAAAGATTTCTTGAAAACTATAGTAGACTGCTTGGCTCAGATTTTGCACAATTACAGCCCTTGAAAGTGGAGTCCAAAAATTTGGATTTTACTTCTAGCTGTAATGAAAATTTCTGAAAGTGGCAAGCAAGAGTTCTAAAGTTAATTTGGAAATTTGGACACTGAGGAAAAAAGAGTTTATACTTTGGCCGATTTGATTAATAGTGGTGCTTATGATGTGAGGAAACTTAATATCAACGGACAATTTATTAGGAATGCATTATGTCAATTTCTTCATTAAAATCTAAGACAAACATAGCAAGTGATTAAAATAGCATTAAAAGGCATTTTATATTAATTATTCATACTGCAAATTTGATAAAAATTGATTTAAAAGTTACAATGATTATCTTTGTATTGGAAGTATATTTACAAATACATGTATTTATGCATACTAACGCAGTAATTATTCTTTTCAAAATTGTACAGCGTAAAGTCTTTCATGATTAATTTCAAATTATCTGAATTTCTACATGTAAAGATTTACAAATTTTATGAACATGTAAAAATTAGGGAATTGGACAAAATATGAAAAAATATGCTATACAGTATACATGTATGTCAGGTTTTGATTTGGTAGGGTAGAAAAACAATTGATCACAAGCAAATATATTTTTCCTAAATTCTGTCTTTAGAGATCCAGCATATTTTTGTATTCAGTGACAGTGTTGTCTTATTTCAGTTTGAAGGAGTGCCATTTTACCCTGATGCAGGTCGATTTTGGGCCATCATAGAGAAATACAAAGTCGCCAAGTTCTACACGGCACCCACTGCCATCAGAGCCCTCATGAAGTATGGGGATAGTCATGTCACAAAGTAAGTAAATATGGTCATTTCTTTTACACAGGAGTTAGTATTTAGTTGAAGCTTGTTTCAGGGACATGTAAATATTACAAATTTTGTATGATAAAGCATGGATATAAAACTTTAAAGATAACTTAAGAAGATGAGGGTTGATGGAAGTGTTTAGTGATATCAAGATTTCTGATTTTCACACCAATTAATACTGATATAAAGAGAACTTTTTGTGTTGTTTTGTAGGTATGATAGAAGCACCCTTAAGGTCCTGGGTACTGTGGGTGAACCAATCAACCCTGAGGCATGGCTGTGGTACTATAATGTAGTAGGGAATAAGAGGTGTGCCATTGTAGACACCTTCTGGCAAACAGAGACAGTAAGTCATTTAACAGCTCAAAACATCAAGATAACGTAATCATAGAGATAGTTCTGTAAGGTATAGCTCCAAATAACAAGATTAGTCAGAGAGATAGTTCTGTAACTTATAACTCAAAACATCAAGATTAGTCAGAGATATAGTTCTGTAATGTATAACTCAAAACATCCAGATTAGTCAGAGAGATAGTTCTGTAACTTATAACTCAAAACATCAAGATTAGTCAGATATAGTTCTGTAATGTATAACTCAAAACATCAAGATTAGTCAGAGATATAGTTCTGTAATGTATAACTCAAAACATCCAGATTAGTCAGAGAGATAGTTCTGTAACTTATAACTCAAAACATCAAGATTAGTCAGATATAGTTCTGTAATGTATAACTCAAAACATCAAGATTAGTCAGAGATATAGTTCTGTGATGTATAACTCAAAACATCCAGATTAGTCAGAGAGATAGTTCTGTAACATATAACTCAAAACATCAAGATTAGTCAGAGATATAGTTCTGTGATGTATAACTCAAAACATCCAGATTAGTCAGAGAGATAGTTCTGTAACTTATAACTCAAAACATCAAGATTAGTCAGAGAGATAGTTCTGTAACTTATAACTCAAAACATCAAGATTAGTCAGAGATATAGTTCTGTAATGTATAACTCAAAACATCAAGATTAGTCAGAGAGATAGTTCTGTAATGTATAACTCAAAACATCAAGATTAGTCAGAGAGATAGTTCTGTAATGTATAACTCAAAACATCAAGATTAGTCAGAGATATAGTTCTGTAATGTATAACTCAAAACATCCAGATTAGTCAGAGATATAATTCTGTAATGTATAACTCAAAACATCCAGATTAGTCAGAGATATAGTTCTGTAATGTATAACTCAAAACATCAAGATTAGTCAGAGAGATAGTTCTGTAATGTATAACTCAAAACATCAAGATTAGTCAGAGATATAGTTCTGTAACATATAACTCAATACATCAAGATTAGTCAGAGATATAGTTCTGTGATGTATAACTCAAAACATCCAGATTAGTCAGAGAGATAGTTCTGTAACTTATAACTCAAAACATCAAGATTAGTCAGAGATATAGTTCTGTAACTTATAACTCAAAACATCCAGATTAGTCAGAGATATAGTTCTGTAATGTATAACTCAAAACATCAAGATTAGTCAGAGATATAGTTCTGTAATGTATAACTCAAAACATCCAGATTAGTCAGAGATATAGTTCTGTAATGTATAACTCAAAACATCCAGATTAGTCAGAGAGATAGTTCTGTAACGTATAACTCAATACATCAAGATTAGTCAGAGAGATAGTTCTGTAATGTATAACTCAATACATCAAGATTAGTCAGAGATATAGTTCTGTAATGTATAACTCAAAACATCAAGATTAGTCAGAGATATAGTTCTGTAACGTATAACTCAAAACATCAAGATTAGTCAGAGATATAGTTCTGTAACGTATAACTCAATACATCCAGATTAGTCAGAGATATAGTTCTGTAATGTATAACTCAAAACATCCAGATTAGTCAGAGAGATAGTTCTGTAATGTATAACTCAAAACATCAAGATTAGTCAGAGAGATAGTTCTGTAATGTATAACTCAAAACATCCAGATTAGTCAGAGAGATAGTTCTGTAATGTATAACTCAAAACATCAAGATTAGTCAGAGAGATAATTCTGTAATGTATAACTCAATACATCAAGATTAGTCAGAGAGATAGTTCTGTAATGTATAACTCAATACATCAAGATTAGTCAGAGAGATAGTTCTGTAACTTATAACTCAAAACATCAAGATTAGTCAGAGATATAGTTCTGTAATGTATAACTCAAAACATCCAGATTAGTCAGAGAGATAGTTCTGTAACTTATAACTCAAAACATCAAGATTAGTCAGAGATATAGTTCTTTAATGTATAACTCAAAACATCCAGATTAGTCAGAGATATAGTTCTGTAATGTATAACTCAAAACATCAAGATTAGTCAGAGATATAGTTCTGTAACTTATAACTCAAAACATCAAGATTAGTCAGAGAGATAGTTCTGTGATGTATAACTCAAAACATCCAGATTAGTCAGAGAGATAATTCTGTAACTTATAACTCAAAACATCAAGATTAGTCAGAGATATAGTTCTGTAATGTATAACTCAAAACATCCAGATTAGTCAGAGAGATAGTTCTGTAATGTATAACTCAATACATCAAGATTAGTCAGAGATATAGTTCTGTAATGTATAACTCAAAACATCAAGATTAGTCAGAGATATAGTTCTGTAATGTATAACTCAAAACATCAAGATTAGTCAGAGAGATAGTTCTGTAATGTATAACTCAAAACATCAAGATTAGTCAGAGAGATAGTTCTGTAACTTATAACTCAAAACATCAAGATTAGTCAGAGAGATAGTTCTGTAACTTATAACTCAAAACATCCAGATTAGTCAGAGAGATAGTTCTGTAACATATAACTCAAAACATCCAGATTAGTCAGATATAGTTCTTTAATGTATAACTCAAAACATCAAGATTAGTCAGAGATATAGTTCTTTAATGTATAACTCAAAACATCAAGATTAGTCAGAGATATAGTTCTGTAACGTATAACTCAAAACATCCAGATTAGTCAGAGATATAGTTCTTTAATGTATAACTCAAAACATCCAGATTAGTCAGAGAGATAGTTCTGTAACGTATAACTCAAAACATCAAGATTAGTCAGAGATATAGTTCTTTAATGTATAACTCAAAACATCAAGATTAGTCAGATATAGTTCTTTAATGTATAACTCAAAACATCCAGATTAGTCAGAGAGATAGTTCTGTAACGTATAACTCAAAACATCAAGATTAGTCAGAGATATAGTTCTGTAATGTATAACTCAAAACATCAAGATTAGTCAGAGATATAGTTCTGTAATGTATAACTCAAAACATCCAGATTAGTCAGAGATATAGTTCTGTAATGTATAACTCAAAACATCAAGATTAGTCAGAGATATAATTCTGTAATGTATAACTCAAAACATCAAGATTAGTCAGAGAGATAGTTCTGTAATGTATAACTCAAAACATCAAGATTAGTCAGAGAGATAGTTCTGTAATGTATAACTCAAAACATCAAGATTAGTCAGAGAGATAGTTCTGTAATGTATAACTCAAAACATCAAGATTAGTCAGAGAGATAGTTCTGTAATGTATAACTCAAAACATCAAGATTAGTCAGAGAGATAGTTCTGTAACTTATAACTCAAAACATCAAGATTAGTCAGAGATATAGTTCTGTAATGTATAACTCAAAACATCAAGATTAGTCAGAGATATAGTTCTGTAATGTATAACTCAAAACATCAAGATTAGTCAGAGAGATAGTTCTGTAATGTATAACTCAAAACATCAAGATTAGTCAGAGATATAGTTCTGTAATGTATAACTCAAAACATCAAGATTAGTCAGATATAGTTCTGTAATGTATAACTCAAAACATCAAGATTAGTCAGATATAGTTCTGTAATGTATAACTCAAAACATCAAGATTAGTCAGAGATATAGTTCTGTAATGTATAACTCAAAACATCAAGATTAGTCAGATATAGTTCTGTAATGTATAACTCAAAACATCAAGATTAGTCAGATATAGTTCTGTAATGTATAACTCAAAACATCAAGATTAGTCAGAGATATAGTTCTGTAACGTATAACTCAAAACATCAAGATTAGTCAGAGATATAGTTCTGTAACGTATAACTCAATACATCAAGATTAGTCAGAGATATAGTTCTGTAATGTATAACTCAATACATCAAGATTAGTCAGAGATATAGTTCTGTAACGTATAACTCAAAACATCAAGATTAGTCAGAGATATAGTTCTGTAATGTATAACTCAATACATCAAGATTAGTCAGAGATATAGTTCTGTAATGTATAACTCAATACATCAAGATTAGTCAGAGAGATAGTTCTGTAACGTATAACTCAAAACATCAAGATTAGTCAGAGATATAGTTCTGTAACATATAACACAAAACACCAAGATTAGTCAGAGAGATAATTCTGTAATGTATAACTCAAAACATCAAGATTAGTCAGAGAGATAGTTCTGTAACATATAACACAAAACACCAAGATTAGTCAGAGAGATAGTTCTGTAATGTATAACTCAAAACATCAAGATTAGTCAGAGATATAGTTCTGTAACTTATAACTCAAAACATCAAGATTAGTCAGAGATATAGTTCTGTAATGTATAACTCAAAACATCCAGATTAGTCAGAAAGATAGTTCTGTAACTTATAACTCAAAACATCAAGATTAGTCAGAGATATAGTTCTGTAACTTATAACTCAAAACATCCAGATTAGTTAGAGATATAGTTCTGTAATGTATAACTCAAAACATCAAGATTAGTCAGAGAGATAGTTCTGTAACTTATAACTCAAAACATCAAGATTAGTCAGAGATATAGTTCTGTAACTTATAACTCAAAACATCCAGATTAGTTAGAGATATAGTTCTGTAATGTATAACTCAAAACATCAAGATTAGTCAGAGAGATAGTTCTGTAACTTATAACTCAAAACATCAAGATTAGTCAGAGATATAGTTCTGTAATGTATAACTCAAAACATCAAGATTAGTCAGAGAGATAGTTCTGTAACGTATAACTCAAAACATCAAGATTAGTCAGAGAGATAGTTCTGTAATGTATAACTCAAAACATCAAGATTAGTCAGAGATATAGTTCTGTAACTTATAACTCAAAACATCCAGATTAGTCAGAGATATAGTTCTGTAATGTATAACTCAAAACATCAAGATTAGTCAGAGATATAGTTCTGTAACTTATAACTCAAAACATCAAGATTAGTCAGAGAGATAGTTCTGTGATGTATAACTCAAAACATCCAGATTAGTCAGAGAGATAGTTCTGTAATGTATAACTCAAAACATCAAGATTAGTCAGAGATATAGTTCTGTAACATATAACTCAATACATCAAGATTAGTCAGAGATATAGTTCTGTAATGTATAACTCAAAACATCAAGATTAGTCAGAGAGATAGTTCTGTAATGTATAACTCAAAACATCAAGATTAGTCAGAGAGATAGTTCTGTAACATATAACTCAATACATCAAGATTAGTCAGAGAGATAGTTCTGTAATGTATAACTCAAAACATCAAGATTAGTCAGAGATATAGTTCTGTAACATATAACTCAATACATCAAGATTAGTCAGAGATATAGTTCTGTAACATATAACTCAAAACATCCAGATTAGTCAGAGATATAGTTCTGTAACATATAACTCAAAACATCAAGATTAGTCAGAGATATAGTTCTGTAACATATAACTCAAAACATCAAGATTAGTCAGAGATATAGTTCTGTAACGTATAACTCAAACATCAAGATTAGTCAGAGATATAGTTCTGTAATGTATAACTCAAAACATCAAGATTAGTCAGAGATATAGTTCTGTAATGTATAACTCAAAACATCAAGATTAGTCAGAGATATAGTTCTGTAATGTATAACTCAAAACATCAAGATTAGTCAGAGATATAGTTCTGTAATGTATAACTCAAAACATCAAGATTAGTCAGAGATATAGTTCTGTAATGTATAACTCAAAACATCAAGATTAGTCAGAGATATAGTTCTGTAATGTATAACTCAAAACATCAAGATTAGTCAGAGATATAGTTCTGTAATGTATAACTCAAAACATCAAGATTAGTCAGAGATATAGTTCTGTAATGTATAACTCAAAACATCAAGATTAGTCAGAGAGATAGTTCTGTAATGTATAACTCAAAACATCAAGATTAGTCAGAGAGATAGTTCTGTAATGTATAACTCAAAACATCAAGATTAGTCAGAGATATAGTTCTGTAATGTATAACTCAAAACATCAAGATTAGTCAGAGATATAGTTCTGTAACTTATAACTCAAAACATCAAGATTAGTCAGAGATATAATTCTGTAATGTATAACTCAAAACATCAAGATTAGTCAGAGATATAGTTCTGTAATGTATAACTCAAAACATCCAGATTAGTCAGAGATATAGTTCTGTAACATATAACTCAATACATCAAGATTAGTCAGAGAGATAGTTCTGTAATGTATAACTCAAAACATCAAGATTAGTCAGAGATATAGTTCTGTAATGTATAACTCAAAACATCAAGATTAGTCAGATATAGTTCTGTAATGTATAACTCAAAACATCAAGATTAGTCAGAGATATAGTTCTGTAATGTATAACTCAATACATCAAGATTAGTCAGATATAGTTCTGTAACTTATAACTCAAAACATCAAGATTAGTCAGAGAGATAGTTCTGTAATGTATAACTCAAAACATCAAGATTAGTCAGAGAGATAGTTCTGTAACTTATAACTCAAAACATCAAGATTAGTCAGAGATATAGTTCTTTAATGTATAACTCAATACATCAAGATTAGTCAGATATAGTTCTTTAATGTATAACTCAAAACATCCAGATTAGTCATAGGGACAGTTGATCATGTAACACTTAGCTCAAAACATAAAGACATTAATTCATGGAAATTTATGTAAGAACAAGCCTTTTTATGCCCCGCCATGAATATGGCCGGGGCATATAATGTTTGTCATGTCCGTCTTCCGTCCTTCCGTCCTTCTGTCCTTCTGTCCTTCCGTCCTTCCGTCACACTTTGCGTTTAGCTCTGTTCAAAGCTCAGTTTCAAAGATACCATTCAAGATATTTTTATCAAACTTCATATGCTGATAGATATTGATGAGAGCTATGCAACTGCATCAACATTTTTTGACCTTGACCTTTCCTTTGACCTTGACCTCACTTTTCTTAAATTAGTGTTTAGCTCAGTTTTAAAGATACCATTCAAGGTAGTGTAATCAAACTTCATATGTTGATGCATACTGATGTAAGCTATTCAACTGCATCAACATTTTTTGACTTTGACCTTTCTTTTGACCTTGACCTCACTTTTCTTAAATTAGTGTTTAGCTCAGTTTTAAAGATACCATTCAAGATAATGTAATCAAACTTCATTTGTTGATACATACTGATGTAAGCTATTCAACTGCATCAACGTTTTTTGACCTTGACCTTTCTTTTGACCTTGACCTCACTTTTCTTAAATTAGTGTTTAGCTCAGTTTTAATTAAAGCATTCAAGATATTTTTAACAAACTTCATATGCTGATACATAATGATGAGAGCTATTCAACTGCATCAATATTTTTTACCTTGACCTTTCTTTTGACCTTGACCTCACTTTTCTGAAATAAGTTTTAGCTCAGTTTTAAAGATACCATTCAAGATAGTGTTATCAAACTTCATATGCTGATACATACTGATGAGAGCTATTCAACTGCATCAACATTTTTTGACCTTGACCTTTCCTTTGACCTTGACCTCACTTTTCTTAAATCAGTGTCAAACTTCATATGCTGATACATACTGATGTAACCTTTTCAACTGCATCAACATTTTTTGACCTTGACCTTTCCTTTGACCTTGACCTCACTTTTCTTAAATTAGTGTCAAACTTCATATGCTGATACATACTGATGTAAGCTATTCAACTGCATCAATATTTTTTCACCTAGACCTTTCCTTTGACCTTGACCTCACTTTTCTCAATTTGTGTTAAAATGTTGCATTACTAATATACCCTCGGCGGGGCATTCATGTCCTATGGACATATTTCTAGTTTAGACTGTATTGGCTATGTAGTTATATATAGAGCTAGGATCGTTTGCAATATGCTAGCTTAGCCACGATGTAGGGATAAGTGTTAATTTTATATAGTGTGTTCAATAGACCTAGATATCTAGCCTAGCAGCTAGGGTAGTTGGTAGGCTATCTGGAGTAATTGCTAAGCTATCTAGGGTAGCTGCTAGGCTCTTAAACACAGCCATGTTTTGTTGTGATAAGATTGAACATACCTTTAAGTACATCTTTTGTTACATAAATCTTGTAGGGAGGTCATGTGATCACCCCACTCCCAGGAGCCACTACCACCAAACCAGGTTCTGCTGTAAGTAACCATAGCAACAGATTCTTTACTTTTGTATTATAAAATTTTCTTCCCAAAAGCTACAATCATAAACTTAGCTAAAGTTAAAACAGTAAGTCAAAAATCAAGAATGTTCGCTGACTCCTTATTTTGAATCAGAATACCTCACTGAAAGTATAAAAATCAGGAGTATGGTTTAGATTTTGATTTCTACATCATCTGAAGGGAGCGTCAACTCATAATTAACTTAAAACATTGAAATTCAATATTTTACCATTAGACATCAATTTCTCTCACACTCGTTTATATCCCATCACACCAGTTGCCTTGGTTATGGATTTTTTGTGTTACTGACAATTGTTATTAGAAATGAATTGGAGATGATGAGAAAAATGGGACATTCATCATCAAAGTAATTTGAAATGCATGCTTTATCAATTGATATTTCATAATTTCTGTGTATTTTTAGATTTTTTAAAAAATGTTTATAGAATAGCACCATTACTTTACATGTTTTTGAGTTTATGACATTTCCCCCCTAGACATTTCCATTCTTTGGAGTTGTTCCTGTCATTCTGGATGAAGAGGGACGAGAAATCACAGAGGCTGATAAAGAGGGATATCTGGTTAGTGTGAAAGCAATATCTGATATCTACAGACAATATATACATGTAAAATAGGTGATATCAAGAACAAATGTATACAACTGATATCTACAACAAATGTGTACAGTGGATACAACATGTATATAAAACAGTTGATTTTTATGACAAATAAATACAACAACTTGTATGTATAATAAAGCATGCTTATTCAGTAGCTGATATCTACAACATATATTCAGCAACTGATATCTACAAAACTACAACAGTTGATACCTTATTCATATTATATCTGTATCAAGTGCATTCATATTTACAACAAAATCATAAACATTTGATATCCAAAATAAATAATACAAAGTACACTATCTTCATACAGTATTCTGATAGATTTACAGTCAACTCATACCCAAACCGACTCGTACCCAAACCGAGTCGTACCCAGAGAGTCAACTCGTACCCAAAACTGTTACTTACATATACAGTGTTATACCATATTATAGAAAAGGCATGTGCTATAGATTATTTAGTATACACATAATTTGTCTGTACTGTTTGTAATTGCATAAATCATGCTTGTTGTTTGTGATGCCTGAAAGGGCCCTGATTTGGAAATAACGAATCTATCTAGGCCCTATCTATATCTATATTATGCCAAGTTGAGAATTTTTCAAACAAATTTAATTTAATTTTAATTATTTTATAAAAGTAGTGTAACTAAATTAAAATAATAAATCAGATATCTTTATGAAAATATATCAAAAATTGAAATATTTTTATTATTTATTTTATGACTTCAGTTTTGGGTACGAGTTGACTCTTTGGGTACGACTCGGTTTGGGTACGAGTCGGAATGGGTACGAGTTGACTGGATACCTTCTGATATCTACAAAAATGCATAGATTGTTGTGATTCATGTATTGTGCCCCCTGCCTACTGATTTAGAAACAAGTAGAATCAATAGATGAAGGAATTCAGTGTTTTTTAAATTAATTCAGTGATATTGATTGTAACTGAAATGGTGTGGACTTGATGTTTTACATAGGTAACTTGTTGTTAACAGGTGTTTAAGCAGCCTTGGCCAGGTATAATGAGAACTGTGTATGGTAACCATGAGAGATTTGAGACAACTTACTTTAAAAAGTTTCCAGGTTACTACTGCACAGGAGATGGTGAGTTTCAGTTACTCATCTTGATATCAGTTCTTACATTGATTTTATTGAACAGACTTTAATCATTTCTTTTAATTTCTAAAATGGAACTAGTTTAAAATTCCATGTATCTCCCCTTAGTGCCATTTTTGAGACACGTGTATAAACCATTTATTTATATAGTATATAAAAAATACAGATATTTCCCTGTCATGTAAGATTGTACAGCCTTAAACATGTAACATTTTGATTAACCTGTAAAATTGAATTGACAGGAGGTAAGAAGGATAGTGATGGATATATCTGGGTGACAGGGAGGATAGATGATATGGTCAATGTCTCGGGGCACCTGCTGAGTACAGCCGAGATTGAGTCTTCTCTGGTGGAACACCCCAAAGTTGCAGAGGCAGCTGTTGTATCACACCCCCACAAAATTAAGGGCGAGTGTACCTACTGCTTTGTGACACTCAAGGAGGTCAGTCTTCAATCACATACAGATTGCTGTTATATTACTTTTCCATTGTCCAAAAAACCCAAAACAAAGAAATTACATGTACTAAGCAGTCAAAGATAACTGCTTATGAAGTTCTGAGTGAGAAAATTCAGATTTACCCATATGTAGAATAAAAAAAAAATAATTCAGGAAATATTACTGAAATCAAAATTATGCATGTTTCATTTACTATTTTTAATGTTAAAGACCAAAGTCAACTTCAGTGGAAATACATATTTTTTATATGTACATGTATTATGTACAGCATTGAAATTCATTATAAGAGTACATTACACTGTATTTACAGCAGTTCTGAATTGATCTACTTAACAAAACCTTTAGTGCAGACATCAGATTTTTATTTGAAAACGCATCCAAAAATGGAAAGGTTTTTAGGTCACCTTATCTGATGGCTTTAGTGAAGAGGATTTAAATTTGTTTAAATCAAGAGTCAAACCCTTCTGTAAGGGGAGATAATCAAGAAAAGCCAAAGTAGGATGGGTGTCTAAAGCCCTTCTTAAGAACAAATGGGGCAGAAAAGATGAAACTTGTATGAAACTTCCTTACATGTGTACATTCAAACCATGACTCCCTGGGGAAGGGTGGAGCCACAGTAGGAGATCAGAGTTTTACATGGAGAATACGTAGGACACTATGTTTAAAAATCTTCTTTTCAAGAACAGCAGGGCCATGAGATATTAATATGCAAGCATCCTCAGGAAGTGCAGATTCAGTTTTGTTAGAATCCTTGCCCCCAGGGGTTGGGCCGTAATAGGGGATCAAAGTATCATAGGGGAAAAATTCTTTTAAAATCTTCTAAACAGTAGCAGTGCCATGGTTAGTCATATTAATACACAAGCTTTTTCAGGTAGTGCAGATTCAAAGTTGTTTAAATCATGGCCCCCAAGGATAAGGTGGACCACAATAGGGGATCAGGGTTTTACATGAGAATATTTAGGGAAAAATCTTTAAAAATCTTCTTCTCAACAAAAGTGTCCTTGGTTAATGCAGATTCAAATTTATTCAATTCATTGGCCTCAGGGTTAGGATGAGGCCACAATAAAGGATCAAAGTTTTACATGGGAATATATAGAGAAAAATCTTTAAAATTGTTGATGCAATGAATAGCTGGGCAATGATTCATCATTTAAATATGCAAGCATTCACAGGTAGTGTTGATTCAGGTTTGCCAAATCATGGTCCCCTAGGATAGGCTTGGGCCACAATAGGGGGTCAAGGTTTCACTAAGAATATACAGTAAAAAAATCTTTTGAATTCTTGTCAGGAACAATTTGGCCATGATTAATCAGATAAATATTACTCTGGTAGTGCAGATTCAAGTTTGTTCAAATCATGACCTCCTTTGTAGAGTGGGACCAGGCCATTAGATATACAATGTATTGATATTAAAGCATCTCTATATTACCTAATGTGTGGATTCAAGTAAGGTTTAATCATAACTCCTTAGGTCTAGGATGAGGCCACAATATGGGGTCATAAATTTTATGGAATAAAGAGGGTAGGAAATCTTTTAAAAACGGCAAGATCAAGATGTCTCAAGTGAGCATTGTGGCTTTTGGACCTCTTTCCTTTGAGTACTGACATATGTAGATAGGATGTTTGCAGTATTTAACCAGTATTAAAAATGTATTACTGATTCCAGGATGAAAAATTTACTGAGGAATTGGGAAATGAACTCAAGATGAAAGGTGAGTAATTATAAAATAAATGGAATAATTGTTTTTACAGTGAATTGAGTTCTCAAGATTTCATCATTGTCATTTCATGTCTGCAAAGTTGGTGCATATTTTTATTCACAAATCCTTTTTCAGTGAGAACAAAAATTGGTCCATTTGCAATGCCAGATTTTGTTCAAAATGCTCCAAGTCTGCCAAAAACCAGGTCTGGTAAAATAATGAGGAGGATCCTTCGTAAGATTGCCGTCGGGGATCGTAACGTTGGTGACATCACAACCCTCGCAGATGACACTGTGATTGATACTTTGTTCGGTCTTCGTCCAGAGAATGCATAATAGACTGGATCATTAAAAGCATCAGGGACCATCGCCACACTCGATACTTACATTAGAAATTGTGCCAATCGGACCATCACCACACTTGATTATAGAAATGAAACAGAATCAATATTAAATCATGTCATGATGCCTTAAACTTTTTCAGAATTCGTCATTGTAATCATGTGGTCAACCTGTTCACACTTTAAAAATTTCCATGACAATTCAATGAATCTGATTAAAACCCACATAATTCATAGGTAAGGGAGAGTATCATATTTTCCCAAGGATTTAATTACTTGTGTATACTCAGTATGACCTGTTATTTAAAGTACATGAATGTACTGTTGTGCATTTTAGGATATTACAAAATCTCTGGAATGCTTTTTATGTTTACAGGGACTTGTTAAAAGAGCCTCTTGTGAACTAGTTTTATTTAGTATAATTAATAGTGAACAAATTTTTATAAGAGATGATATAAACAGATGTTGTCATGAACACTGATTAAACTGTGGAAAGAATTTTCTGTTTCCTCTTCATTGCATGATTCGTAATGGAGGTTGAATTTCATGAAGTCTAAATTGGCAAGGTATACCGTAATTACATGTACATGTATCTGGGAAAAACTGATTTGTTTTTGATTTAGATAAGGGATAAAGCTCTGGATTGAGACTATCAGCGTTACCAACACAGATCGACAGTTTGATTCTTACAGATTAAGGAGATATAGCGGCCACATAAGACTGGCCATTATTGACAAATATTATGTCTGCTAAATGGATCACTCTGAGGAATCTGAGTGTAGCACTCTGTCTCCAGAATCCTTTATTTATTCTGATTGTCTTGTTAACTTTTATAACATCTCCTATCTGGAAGTCCTCCCCAGTGGCAAATTCAGGAGGCCCATTATTTTTATGAAATATTGGAGCCAGGAAATAGAATGAGTTCATTCTAAAAAGAAATATTGTTATGAGATTTTAATCCAATTATTCCCATCTCCAAAGAAATACTGCTAGGAGCTTTTAATCTATTTACAATTCAACAATTTCAGACAATGAAGGTCTTTGGAAAAGGTTTGTACACAGCAAAATGTGCCACGTACGTTAAACGTATGTGATACGTACGTGACTTCACGTACGTATCACAAGTTTTCAATCTGTAAATGTGAGCTGATTTTTTTTCTCTTTCCTCAATTCATTGGCGGATCTAGGCCGCAAGTGAATGCCAAATGCAGTCGCCACTAAGTTTGGGAGTTGTACTTAATAATATATCCACCAAGATTTCATTAAAAAAAAAAATTGAGTGGTACATTTAAAGAGTGCCAAGATGTACCAGTTCCTGCCTGCAACTTACTTGGAAGATCCACCTGCGACTTTCTAGGTAAACAACTTCCCACTGGCAATGGAGTCATTTTTACCGTGTGTTGAAATAAAATTATTAATGTTTTTCAGTCAATAGATGATTTAGACACCTGAAGAGTACACTATTCACTATGCCGAAGGGCGAGGTGAAATATACTGCGAGGGTGGCTAAATCATCGTTTTGACTGAATCCCTAACCCCCCCCCCCTTCAATGATTAAATGATGCAAACTCTTTAGGCAAACCAAGGCATCTTTCTTGTTTACATTTGCTGAAGTACTTGCCAAGTGCATTGAGAGAAGCGAGTTAAAATAAACATAACCAGTTGTATTTATTTGGAAATTCTTAATCTACGTTTGGTGTGATGTAGGAAAAATAAATGTCAGACACATAGCATCGATGTTAAAAGGGGGAAAGGAAAAAAAAACAACTAACCCGAAAAAAAGTTTGACAAGTCCTAAAAAGAGGAATATGCTATGCTCCGGGGGTGGGTGGGAGCGTTAGAGTCCATTAACATAGGAGGGATTTGACTATACTGTATCCAAAAAAAAAAAGGTGGAAAGCCTCCCCTCCCCCCGATTCTATTTGCCTGAATGTTATGTTCATCTGTGTTGAAGTCGGGTGCAGATGAAATAACTTTTCAGAAGTAATAGTAGTTCTAAATCTATTTTTAGTCCAATATAGTCCATCTGGAAGGTCACGTGCAGGTGAACATGATGTATTTTTTCTACAATGTTGGATCTAAGCCAATCAGAGTGATAGGAATTATTCAATCATATAATGAAATCTATTTATTGACTTACATCACTGACATATTTTGATTAAAAGAAAGAGTTTTGCTGAAAAAGCCTTTCTCTATTAAAAAAGAAGTCAATACTAGCATTATACTTCATTTGGACAAGTTTTATTGGTAAACTGACACATTAGGAAAATCCTAGGGGATAATCCACAATGAATTAATGTGACGTAACGCATCGACATTCCGTTAATGTAATGATTTAGCATGATTATAAACAATAAACTTCTTATAGTGCTATTTGAATTCCTATCCGGATTCAGTCGCTTATAAATCGCGTGGTGTGATAAACTGTGTACAGTTCTATGCAAATATCACTTGAAGTTCTCTAGAATATATAAAGGATAATTAATATTTTAGGACATCTGAAAAAGGGTCCGATTCAAGTTATATACGATGGTTCTTGCAATAATCAATATATAATTTAATCTCTTGTTTTCACGAGTTATTGGCCTTGGTTTGACATAGACGCTTCTGGTGACGATCTATGGAACATTTCACTGTGATGAAGAAAGCAATTTATCATTTCACAAAAGTAATTTTGCTTTCACTCCCATCAACCAGTAACATATTACTTAAAGATAAAGTGGGGATTCTATTATTTATATTGATTATTGATTGGATGTCGTTGTGTCTGTCGCCATCTTCCGTTTCTAGAAGTACCTAACTTTCTCGCATACACTGATAAAAACGAGGATATTTAAGATTTAATAGATACAGATAAACAGATAAATCCTCTCATCAGGCTTTCCTTTCTTTTCAAACAGATAATATGCTTTTCAGGTGGCTTTTCAAACAATAGGAGGGTTAAACCAGATTCATACGATAATAGTTATAAAACAGATTTGTATACTAATGGTTAAAAAAGACTTAAACAATAGTTAAACAGACTTGTACACTAATGGTTAAAACAGACTTAAACAATAGTTAAACAGACTTGTACACTAATGGTTAAAACAGACTTTAAAACAATAGTTAATCAGACTTGTACACTAATGGTTAAAACAGATTTGAAACAATAGTTAAACAGACTTGTACACTAATGGTTAAAACAGACTTAAACAATAGTTAAACAGACTTGTACACTTATGGTTAAAACAGACTTAAAAACAATAGTTTAAACAGACTTGTGCACTAATGGTTAAAACAGACTTAAACAATAGTTAAACAGACTTGTACACTAATGGTTAAAACGGACTTAAAAACAATAGTTAAAACAGACTTGTACACTAATGGTTAAAACAGACTTAAAAACAATAGTTAAACAGACTTGTACACTAATGGTTAAAACAGACTTAAACAATAGTTAAACAGACTTGTACACTTATGGTTAAAACAGACTTAAAAACAATAGTTAAACAGACTTGTACACTTATGGTTAAAACAGACTTAATCAATAGTTAAACAGACTTGTACACTAATGGTTAAAACAGACTTAAACAATAGTTAAACAGACTTGTACACTTATGGTTAAAACAGACTTAAAACAATAGTTTAAACAGACTTGTACACTAATGGTTAAAACAGACTTAATCAATAGTTAAACAGACTTGTACACTAATGGTTAAAACAGACTTAAAAACAATAATTAAAACAGACTTGTACACTTATGGTTAAAACAGACTTAAAAACAATAGTTAAAACAGACTTGTACACTTATGGTTAAAACAGACTTAAAAACAATAGTTAAACAGACTTGTACACTTATGGTTAAAACAGACTTAAAAACAATAGTTAAACAGACTTGTACACTAATGGTTAAAACAGACTTAAACAATAGTTAATCAGACTTGTACACTTATGGTTAAAACAGACTTAAACAATAGTTAAACAGACTTGTACACTAATGGTTACAACAGACTTAAAAACAATAGTTAAAACAGACTTGTACACTAATGGTTAAAACAGACTTAAAAACAATAGTTAAACAGACTTGTACACTAATGGTTAAAACAGACTTAAACAATAGTTAAACAGACTTGTACACTTATGGTTAAAACAGACTTAAAAACAATAGTTAAACAGACTTGTACACTAATGGTTAAAACAGACTTAATCAATAGTTAAACAGTCTTGTGCACTAGTGGTTAAAACAGACTTATGCATTAATATTTAAAACGGATGTTTAATACAGACTTATAAACTAATAATTAAACCAGACATTCACTGATAGTTAAAACAACCTTATACATTAATAACTTGAGATCTCCTCGAAATTTGAATGTCTTCAAGTCTTAACAGTGTCATGATTTGGGTTCATGGGTCAAATTAGGAAAAAGAGCCTTTTAACTGATCTTATTGGATACGTTCATGGCAGCATCAATTAAACTCAATGATGTAAAACCACAATATATCTAATATAAGAGGAAGTAAGCAGTACTTAATATAGTTAGCCATACTCCTGCATGTATGCTCGGGTTACGGCATCGTTTTCAGAGAGAGAGAGAGAGAGAGAGAGAGAGAGAGAGAGAGAGAGAGAGAGAGAGAGAGAGAGGGCATAAAATATTTATAACCAAACTTTATTCTACATCTAGAGAACAAAATTCACATTATAATGACTGTAAAGGTTGAATATATGATTTGATTTCGGAAGAGTTCAGTGATTGACATTGACACATGTTAAGATTTGTTACAAGTCGATAAACGACAAACGATAATTAGATTCAACAACTAAGACGTGTTTGAAAGTGATTAAAGAATTCATGTAAATATCATAAAGCTATCAATTCCAGCCCTCCTCCCCGCTCCGCCTAGGGGCCTTACACTTTACCACTGGGACTTGGGTGATGAATAGAGGCAGTCCCCAAACCCGCTGCATCATCCAGTGTCCACATCAAATGACCCCTCTCTACCTATACCAAAGGGATGATACGGTGCAAAACACTGTATATCGGTGTTTAAGTGTTTTAAGCTTATGATTAAGTTTTTGGCTCTATGCAGCATATTAATAAAGGATAAAGTGCCATTATATAGGATTTATTATTTATACATATTAATCGACGTGTACATTATAATTATGAAAGAGTGCTCTGTTACTTTCAAAAGTCCACGCTATTTAAATACTAGTATGCACAGAAGTAAAATCAATAGCCCTTTTGGCAATTTTTAAAAGATTTACATGAATACTGAATTAAGGGGGAAAAGGATTTTATTTATTAATGAATGAAAAAAAAAACCCATGTATATATGGATACGTCTTTTTCCAGGGAAGTTGTGGTTTAAGTTGACATAGAACCTTTCCGCTGTAGCCGCGATACTGCGTTGCAGTGTCCCTTTTTTTCGTCAACACCAGCCTAGTTAATAAGTCGTCCACTTCGTTACTGTCAGCTTCTGTTGTCTTTAGAAATGGGGAAAAGTTTTTCTTTTTTATTAACAAAATAAAGAAACCTCTGCATATTGTATGACTAAGCATTTTGCTGATTATAAATAACAGCAGATGGTAATTTTTCTTCATTATCCGTGATGAAGATGGACGTATCGCACGTCCCCAACACCAAGCAATTTACGTATGATGTCGAGTGGCAATTCCGGTGTAATGGAGGACCATCAGGTGCTCAACATATATGTCGCATCGATTTTCAACATCTGTGGATACCGATTGGAAAATACTTATAAATTTGCCATAGATATCATCTGCTGTCATTTTGCGCAACGACTAGTGATGAATCGGTCTAACGCAGACCAGTGTCTGTAACGGCAGCTAGTTCGTAACTCGGCGCCTTACTCAGAAAGATGGCCAATCCATAGTGCCCAGCGCGAGGACAACTTGCTAGCCATCAGAAACGGAATTTATCTCGGTGACGATTTAATGGATTTAATAGGGAAACTTAGCAAACACTTAAAAAGAATAACGAGCAGCGCTGTGGATAAATAACTTAGCGTTATTTGTTGACGTCATGTCCGTACTAATAAGGTGTATTTCAATACTATTGTCATTTTTGTATTGTTCTGGGAACGATATTGTTGCTATTATAGATCAAGACATTTATAATCTGCATTTCCGGACTTTTTACTTATCGGTGGAGAGACCGGAAGTTAATTTGACAGGCATAGTCTATCCGACGTACACGGGTTTTGATGATCAGCTACATGGTCTTTGTTCGTACCTCACCCAGCAGCAGACTCGGGCGGTGTTCGTTGTAGGCAATCAGGACACGATAAACATTGTGTCTATGGTAGCAAATGTCCTCGGAATACCGACCCTGGCTTACATGAAGGACGCAAAGACAGTCTACGAGAAGGTAATGTTCGCTGATATTTCTCTAATTGTTCTCTGACTAAACGGTTTTTCTCTAAGAACTGATAATTAATTTACAAACAGAGCATTGTTTTTGCCAGAATATGTTTATTTAATTGAAATGAATCTAAACTTAGCGTCTTATTACCGAGGTTCCTTTATGTGACAATGTTTATTCGAAACTGTATATGAAATTATGCAATAAGTCGTTTCGGGTTTGTTGCCGATGGCCCAAAAGCTGTCAAGATTTTTTGTTGTTTAAAATTATCCGGGTCCATTTTGTGAACCCTTTTTCTTTAATTTTATTCCCTTCCATTCTGCCATTCTGAACATGGAAAATTTCTCCTGTTCTGTCAATTTAATCCAAAAATTTAATGACAAATATATTTATTGTATTTTGTTCAATTGCGCTAGATCGAAAGCTCCTAGCTGATTGTCTCTAATGATAACAGTATTCAATTTGTAAATGATATTTGCCTTAGAACAATACTTAATTTAATCCGGACAATAGCTAAGCTAGGTGTTGGTTTAGCGACTGACTTTAACAAAAATATTTATTTTAAGCATTATTTAGGCATGAAAACAGATTGTCCATACTGAACAGTAAATCTGTTTTTGCTAATTTTATTCCATGGAGGGAGGAGATTCCATAATTCAGTTTAATTCGGTTTAATCAATTTAAAATATAAAGTGTGTATTTATATATTTATGTTTTAATCCTGCTACCCAACATGTCTTGATGTTTGACAACCTCCTCTTACCAGATGAACATTGTAAAAGACTTAACGTTTGTAGTTCTACAACCCCACAACCCCCCCCCCCCCTACAATCTTTAGAGAAAGACCCATCGGTTCTTTGTTATAACCGTACAGAAAGTGTAAGCAACCCAGAAATAGCATGTAAAGAGAAGAGACAATAATTTCCCTGAGGTTAAAACAGTGATTACAAAGTAATGGTAAAGTTGTTTTCTCTAAAGGTATAGAGGACGGATGTGAAGGTTACGACAGAGACCTACGATATACATGTTTGTAAAGAGGGGTTTTCCCCTGAAGATCAGAGATGTTTAGTTATGTAAAGTTTAGAGGACTAGTATATCTTGCTTTTCTCTCTTGGTTATAGTCCGAATGCACATTGATTTTTTTTAATTCTATAACGAGTTTCATGGAATCGTAAACTTAAAGGTTCTCATGCAATTATAGATGAGGTTTTTGCAGACCTTAATTGGAGTTTTTTACGGGAGTATGGTACAGGGAATTGAATGAAATATAATTGGAAGAGGTTTCCTTTCGGTGCAGAGAGAAGGGGATTCATTATAAGTAAACTGAAGAGGTTTCACTAGGATGTATTCATTATGTGTTATACGGCAAAGAAAGCATAGAAATGTAAGGCAAAGGTGTTTTATACAACGGAACAGAGAACTAAGAGAGAGAGAGAGAGAGAGAGAGAGAGAGATTAGTTTACAGAGATCGGTGTTTAGCTTTCGTCTTGGTTATGAGATTTTTACAAAACACACAGATAAAGTTACAAAAATCACTCAACCACAATTTGTTTCTGATTGATGGAATAAAATGAGGACCATGATTGCTTGAAAATTGTATTTTTATGTGTCCCTTAATTTCTTCCGACTGATTTAGTGCCAATATAGCGGCAGTTTATGTAGATATGGGGAACATGGATTTCTAATATTAGAGAATGAGGGAAGTTTGTAGGAGGAGATCGGCGCAGCATGCGGCAGTTCCTCCTATCAATCATTTGATATGATTGATCACACTAACCAGCTAATCAAAATTTCATACTGTAAAAATATTTCCGCATTCTGTCTTTGATATTGATTATATAAAGGAAGCTATTCCCAAGGAATGAAAACGGCACTTAAAAAAACTTCTCTCCAATAATTATAATGTAGGTCAATAAACAGGGGGGAAACCTTTGACTCTTTAATTAGTTTTTCTTCACAAAGATATTTATTCAAGTTGTAATTTTGTCAGTTAGATTTTGATATATAAAATTCTTCAAAATGAGCAAAAATGAGGACAAAAATGATAAAGTGATATCCAATTTAAATGCAAATCATTTCCCCTGTTTCATTTAAAAACCAAACATTTTTTTTAGTTTATTTTTACACCCCCTCCCCCCCCCCTTCAAAAAAGGAAAGAAATAACAGTCATGAAACAATTGCTAGCATCACTGTCTTTTAGTTGATGCAGATAACCATATTATGTTGAACTGAATTTACTGGGTGGAGGTAACTACAGATACAAAAGATATGGGCGATTAAGCGGAGAAAAATGCCCATAGTTCCACAAGTGAAAGAAAGTGAAAAATTCTATCTTATTTAGTTCAAAATTTGCTTTGATATATCAGTTAACATTAATGTATACTTCATGTAAAATCTCCATAATTTTCTTCATCTCGTTCGTGTTAAAATTATTCATCTAAGAAATAGCATGCACATACAAAAGAGGGCAAAATGACCATTTCCCCATACTACAGCACAGTGCTGTTTTTGATGCTTAATTCAAGCCCCCACAGAAACCACAAAAACATTTTCTTATCCTATTAAAATTTTGCCAAGAGAATATTCAGTTCTAAAATTGAACTGGAAGCTACAGGCATCTTGAAACTACAGGCATTTCTCACGCCTTATCCACCCCAACTTCACAACGTCAGGAGTTCACGTTCTGAGTCCTGGTAGTCCCATGTCCACGAACGGGCTTAGGACCCCTGACGAACTGAGGATGTATCCACCCATGTTCTTTGCAATATGATAACCCTTTGAAAAAAATGAAATATTCAATCAGTTTTTTTACTTCGTGGTATTGTCTAAACCAGAAAAAACTATACTTCATGTCATGCTAGGAAAACAATATACGGTATTGCTTTCATTAGGTTTCCGCCAAAATTTACTTCTAGTAAATTCTGAACACGTAATTAAAGCTAAACGCATGCATGGAGTTTTCAAAGCAAAGCATTTTTTGTAGGGTATGTTTGTAATTAATGATTAATGATAACATTTTCGAATACCCAGCTGTGTTTGTATATTTGAAAAAAAAAATCATCAAAATTGCCCTGTATAACTTTGAGGTTTTATATAATATGAGGTTCTGTCTTTAAAAAAAAAAAAAAAAAAAAAAAAAAAAAAGAAAACTCTAAACTTAAATACACCCATCTAAATCCAGGCCTCACTCTCAACGAAATGAAAAAAAAAAATAAACTCGTAAATTAGAGAGAATGATTTTGACAAATTCTGAAGTCATTTCAAGGTCTACTGGCTTCAATCCCAACTAGCTTTTAAAAACTTTCGATATTCTATATTAGTAATTTACAGTTATGGCGATTTATAGAGAACAAATCAATTCTGGTTAACGACTGTTTTGACATTTATTTCCAACTATACAAATGAAAAACAATTGAATTTGCAGCTTTGAAATTTGTTCTATAACGTGAGATGACTTCATTAACCCCGTACGAGTTCTCTTGTTTACCGGGCATACTATGGATATGGACTTTTTTATTCAAATGATAAATTGATATTACAATCTGCATATTGTGAAATCTACTTTTACGGTAACAAAAATACATTTAAAAATTACCAATTACTATACAATTAGCAATAAATCAAATAACAACCTACTAATTCCCTGATTTTGTTTTTTAGTTTCACATTTTCTGTTTCGTGATACTGGCCTTAACTGTCAATACCTTACGTGCTGCAGGGTTGAACCCCGCCGATTTTGCTTCTACAACATCTAACGACTTTCCATTTGGAAAAGCATGGTCTTATTTTCCGAGGTTGTAAAAAATTGAGCATTGCGAGTTTTTTTCCCGCTTTTACTGAGAGTGGGGGATATTAATTTTGGTCTGTCTGTACATCCGTCCTTCCGTCTAGCTGTCTGTCTGTCACTCTGTGTGTAACACTTTCGTGTCCGGACGATATCTTGAAAAACCTTTGAGTTTTTGCAATGAAATTATATATCACAACTCCCTAAGCCTAACAAAGACCCCTATTGATTTTGAGGTCAAAGGGTCAAATGTAAAGGTTATAAATTCGTACATTCTGTCTGTGTGTAACACTTTCGTTTCCAGACGATATCTTAAAAAATCTTTTGAGTTTTTGCAATGAAATTTTATATCACAACTCCTTATGGCCTAAAAAAGACCCTTATTGATTTTGAGGTCCAAAGTCAAGGTCAGACATTCATACATTGGAAATAACAGTTTCCAGATGATAACTAGTTTTTCGTAAGCTTTTTCAGTGAAATCTTGTATTATAACTCCCAATGACTTGAGGGAGCCCCTTTAAGGTTAGGTCAAAGGTCAAGGTGAAAAATTCATATCTTGCGTAAAGTCGTTTCCTGGTGATAACTCTAGTTCTCCTTGAGGGTTTGCAATGAAATTTTATACCTTTAGTGAATATGACATAAAAAAGACTCCTAATGGAAAGACCAAAGTCAGAAATTTAAATATTGCATACATAATTTTCAGATGATAACTTCAGTTCTCTGTAAACTTTTGCAATGAAACTTAAGGTAATGAATTTCTTTAACCCAAAAAGACCCTTATTACTTTAAGGCCAAAAGGTGAAAGTTAAAGGTTGACCTTTTTTACTTTGTCCATCTGCATATTTTTTTCACTTCTTCCACCATCTTTTTTTCCTTAAGCGGAGGACACAAATTCTCTGAATTGACTTGTCTTCTTTTTTTTTCGGGGGGGGGGGGGGGGTTACACTGATTTCATTGATTAGAACTTTGAAGTAGAGTAAACAATCCTTAATGCAGAGAGCTATGGATTGTTTTCTAAGTCCCTTCTAGATAAAGCCTTTTATCAAAATCTTCATCGGTTAAATATCTCAAACTGCATGACGTGGAGTAACATCTGTATGAATGGCCTTCGAGCTTGAATACTGTTCGTTTTCTCCATATTTTAGATATACGTGATTTTAGCTATGATAGAGTAGCATCTGTATACATGTTTAGATATACGTGATTTTAGCTATGATAGAGT